CTTACGTGCTTAAACTGAAATTATGAATATCATGTTATTACGAGTATATTAAAACATTGTGTAGGTGCACAAGTTCACCCTTGCTTCTTGCTGTTCGCTGCATGGATAGGTAGGTACTATTTTTATCTATTAAGTGTTTAGTAGATCAATCAGATTTTTACATAATTAAATGTCTTATCAAATATAAATACTTTTATCGCGAATTATGTTACTAAGCCTCCAGAATCGATGGGTAAAAACAACAGATTAGAAAATACGCTTGCATCAATTAGTCATTAGACCAGCGGAGATGGGCTCCAATAAGACCGATATTCAGTCAAGATTGTGGGTTTTTTTCTAAGGGGAAAATCATCGGGAGGGAGTGTCAGAATCTTACTGACTAAAAACCTCTCCGTTCCTTCTCCTGCTCTGGGCTGAGGTCACGGTGCCTCATTGCACTTACCCCGCAAACCCGGCTGAACATCAGCCCCGTCTGTGATGGTCTATTGGCTCTTTGAGGCGCACGCAGAACGCTACGCGCTGTCCGCCCGGGTCTGGCTCTGGTCGGGCGGCGAGCTACCCTTACTCGCCGTCCGCAGACCCGCGCTTACGGTGGCCGGATCTCGTCTCTTGGAGATTGCGAGTGCAAGTGCAATAATGAACCTTGGCCTTGGCAAGAGAAGAAGCGTGGAGGTTTTTACTCATAGTTACTCTAAATCTGGCACTCTCTCACGCCTCACCCAGGACGGGAGAAGTCATTTGATAATGTTTCGCCCTCAAAAAAGTTCTTATGTTTATTTGCACAAAAGCCTTACCCTATATAACAATGTTGGTATAATGGAACTAATCCCACAAGTGAAAAGTCTACTTTACTATAAATACATACTTAATGAGAATATGACGATATGGCGTGATGTTATATTTTATGGCTTGTTTATCCCAATTCAGAATTTTATTCAGAACGACATCATGCATTAGTAATGAGGTAATCACGCCACTAGGTCGCGGACCAATCACAAGTTACGACAAAAACTTCAGTTCGAATTCGGAACAAGTTTGACAAACATGAAATAAGCTCGTGAGTGGACTTATCTAATCGTGAACATTTGTACCAAAATTGTACATTATACAAACAAAAATTGATTAGATGGTGAAGATAATTAAAGTTCGTTAAGTACCTACCTAGTAACTAATTTCCATAATTCCGAGTCCCAAAAAATACTTATATGGTACTTTTTATTTCACTGCTAAGAAAAGTTTCCAATTCAAACACACTATTGCCAAAAAATCATGGCCTATCTAAAATTAGCACCACTTAAGTTTAAAATAAACTTAATTCATACAATAATAATTTAACGATTAGAAGAATTACCTGCTCTCAAAGTCGTACTGTCGGATGCTTGGCTTGCTTAGATTGCCTCGGCCCATTAGACCCCAGGTAAATTTTAAGAGCTGTGAGTAAGTAGGTACTCATTCTATACAATTTTTAAAATATTGTCTGGAAAGAAAAACAATAAATCTTAACGTAGCAGATATTAGAAAATACTGAGATGTGGAAAAAGGTCTCCCTAACAAACACTGAGAACAGATCGGTCTTGACTGTTTTGAGTGCAAACAACCTTTCTTACATTTGTACACGATTCGAATAAAAAAATGATATCATCACTGTTTTCTAAAGATTATTATAATTATTTTTCCACGCTTAATTAGTTAAGTGTGAAAAAATAAATCAGTAGGCTCTTGATAAAGCTGAGGGTCCAAAGTCCACAATACAATTCCGTTACCATAGACTTTAGCTTTATTTAATCAGGTCTTAGGTTTTAAACCATTACCTAGTACATATTTACTTAATTACTTCATACAAGTGCAAGTTAATATGTGCATAGTTCAACTAATTGTTTGACGATGACTTCACAAAATATGATGTTATATAATTATACTATAAAAATATGGATAGATACAAGCATAAGATATGATATTTGAGATAAGATATATGATGTGTAGGTATTTATATGTTGTATATAATACCACAGCGCGCGTAGTAAAGTATTATTATTACTACAGCAGCGTGTTGCGGTCAGTCAACCCACATTTCAGAAGGTAGGAATAAAATATTTTATTATTTTTTTTTAATGGAAATTATTGTAGTGACTTTGAAGCAAAGTAGGAAAAATAAATGGATTTTTTTTTAAAGGGGCCTTATGTAGCATAATTTATAATCATAAAATTTTTACTCGAATTCCTAAAATTATTTATTTATTTTTTAATAAAACGATTTTAACTAATACCGGCTAACGATCACAGCTACTTATTTTAATATTGCGACAAAAAAAAATGTAGCCTCCAATAATTCGCGACAATATTTTTTGTTTTATGAAATTTTAGTTCTGTGTAAAATATTTTAGGTTTATTTACTAACAATCACTAGACTTAACTTTACCTAATTGGATCTTGACATATTAGGCACCTAGGTATCACAAAAAATTGTACTAAGTATTACTCCAAGACATGGTTGTTTTGTTTCCCCACCTTACCATACTCGCTCGGGTGTTAGTCAGGGTTCTGTTTTGGGCCCTTTATTGTTTGGTTTGATGGTGAACGACCTAGAATCGTGTCTCAAGCATGCGAGGTGTTTATTGTATGCTGATGATCTTAAACTTATTTATGGGGTGAAAAATTTCGCGGATACAGATACCTTACAGGGTGATATTAATGCCATGTACCAGTGGAGTAATGACAATAAACTCAACTTTAATACTGCGAAATGTAGACCTTTAGTCGAGCACATAAACCTTTGCATGTTGAGTACTTCTTGGGATCAGAGCTCATAAATCGTGTTCACACCGTAAAGGACTTAGGTGTAATTTTCGACCCTCGACTGAACTTTCATGAACATATGAGGTTACTTACAACTGACTCTTATCGTAGATTAGGTTTTGTTATCCGGAATATGCGTGAATTTGATAACCCGAAAGCTATCAAACTGGTGTACATGGCCCTAGTTCGTACAAAACTGGAGACAGCATCTATTGTATGGAATCCTCATGAGAGTACTTATGCTTTATTACTGGAGAAAGTGCAAAAAGCATTTCTTAGATTTCTGTACAAAAAGATATTTGGCTATTATCCATTCCTATATCCCACCAAGTTTTTATTAGGCATGTTAAATTTCAATTCTTTGGCAGTGAGACGAAATTACTCTCTTATTATTTCAACTTGCAGTGCATTGCGAGGACAATCTGACTGTCCGGAGCTGGTGGCACAGGTGGTACGGTTGTTTGTGCCCACAGTATTGAAGCTTCAGCCGTCAGCAGTCAGCTTAGGCCACGTAGGCACCCCTTGCTAGCTGTCCCGGTAACGCGAACCGTCGCCCATGCAAATTCTCCGCTTGTTCGAGCATTAACAATGATCAATGCCCTCTTGGTATCGGCACCGGAGTGTGATTTGTTCGCAGCGAGATGGAAGGATTTATGTCGTGAATGTGTAAGATTTTGTGAGAAGATGGATAGCTGATGAATATGTATTGTATTTTTTTTTCTATGTATAAGATTTTATATATAAGTTTTTATAATAATATTTGATAAGTGTAAAGTAGTAAAATGTATTTTTTTTTCTAAGTGTATAATGTTTTGGCTTGTGCTGTAAAATTAATCATGTGTGTTTTATAAATAAATAAATAAATAGCCCTTGTAGGTAGCAGGCTAGCAGGCGACATCAGGTCATAAGTATTTTTGTCTAATAAATAGATTGGTAATTAAACTTAAATATTTATTAAAGTGGTTTGTTCTTCTGTCTTAAATAAATTATGAAACATGTTCTTCAGAAATTTTTTCACAAGCTTATTTTTCAAATTTTTAGGTATTATAGTTTTTATTTTATTTTAGATGCTTATCCTCTAAATTTTCCTTGAGGTTTGGCTAAATATTAGTATTGGGTAGGTATACTATTCTCATATATAATAAAGCCAAGGAGTTTCTTGTCATTCTCCATAGGAATGTACCTACACATTGGAACGAACAAATATCTTTACTAGAGGACTGACTGAAAGACTGTCAATTTTTATTTTTAAATATTTGTTTATTATAAATTAATTATTTGACTTTAACTTTCATTGTCAGCCAATAAGAGCTGCCTAGGAAGTCTATGAGTTGTTCCAAAGAACTAAGCCACAGTCACACAGTAAATCATCTGCTCAGAAAAAAACTTATCTTGTTCTGAGAGGGCAATTTGATGCACAGACTACAGATTGGACAAATTGTCGATCTTTATTCAGACTTCCTACTTCGCATGCTAGTCACAGTCAAGACATTTATTTTTAATAGGTAGATGGCGAGTCCAGGTCGAGTGGAACATTTTCGATGGACGATGGACTGTAACATCAGATTCAATTAGGTAGATTTACAGACATCCTGTCGTCTCCAATTAACTTGCTGCTCCAAACATTCTGGTTTAACAATCTTGCTAATGCATTTAAGTGCCACATACACATAATAACTAGTAATAATGGCTAAGTTTGAAACTTTTTTACAATTAACTATATTATACAGCGACCTGCTCCGGCTTCGCACGGTTGCAATTCTGATATATACAATTTTTTTTTAATGAATGTTAATATAAATACATACCAACCTTCTTCAGCAATCAGTCTATCTATAAAAAAACCTCCTAAAGAAATACGTTGTGCAGTTTTAAGGATTTAAACTACATATTTATACTCACAGAACAGATAAAAAAAGTTTTACCTTTTTTATCATAATAATATATAATATCCTAGTCCTTCCGTAAAATCCGCAACTCTTATCTGAGGGCGTCGCTAGTTGATAAGTAGGCTCGTTTGCCGCCCTATGGCATAAAAAAATCACCCTGTTTCTTGCTACCCACTCCAAGGGTTTGCTACACTTCCAGCTAAATTAATTTTAACTTTGACTTTTATATTACAAAAGAGCTTAAATAAAAATAAATAATAGTTACAATCAAAAACTGTATTTTTGGTTTAGGTAAACTGATAATTTTGTCAACAGAATATAAAAAATGGCGCCTTCAAACCTTTCCCTGAACGAGGTGGTGATCGTGTCCGCTGTGAGGACTCCTATCGGCTCCTTTAGAGGAAGCCTGGCTAACGTCACGGCTACAGAGCTCGGTGCTATTGTCGTCAGAGCTGCCGTTGAGAGGGCCGGAATTCCTAGCAGTGAAGTTAAAGAGGTAAATTGATTAATTATTTTGCCACCTTTTTGGTCCATATTAAAATTTATCTAGTACATATTGGCTATTCAAATAATTTAGCGAAACAGTTTTAATAGTAAGAAAATAAACAAAGTTTTCCTACTAATCATTGCCACAATATATTGACGTGAAAGATCTGTCCCTAAAATCGAGTGAGATTTGTACAAGTTGTATAATATGTGCGCTCACATACTTACACAAATATTAAGCCAAAGACCTTTTTCATTGTTCTCTTTTTTCTAGGTGTTCATGGGCAACGTCTGTTCAGCTGGTCTCGGCCAGAACCCAGCGAGGCAGGCTGCTATTTTCGGTGGACTGGAAAAGAGCACTATTTGCACAACTGTCAACAAAGTATGTGCGTCTGGTCTGAAGGCCGTTACACTGGCCGTACAGGGCTTGCAAACTGGAGCAAACGATGTCATACTAGCCGGAGGAATGGAATCTATGTCAAACATCCCATTCTATATTAGAAGAGGCGAAATCCCATACGGAGGTACCCAGCTACTTGATGGCATTTTGTACGACGGTCTCACCGATGTATACGACCAAATTCACATGGGTGACTGTGCTGAAAACACAGCTAAGAACTTGAACCTATCAAGGAAACAGCAGGACGACTACGCTATCATTAGCTACAAGAGGAGCGCCGCAGCACACGCCGCTAAGGCTTTCGATGCTGAAGTTGTTCCTGTCCCAGTGCCACAGAAGAAGGGTGGAGCTCCTGTTATTTTCGCAGAAGATGAGGAGTACAAGAGGGTTGACTTTGACAAACTAGTCAAGTTGCCTACTGTATTCAAGAAAGAGAATGGTACTGTGACTGCTGGTAATGCCTCAGCATTGAATGATGGTGCCGCAGCTGTGGTAATGATGACCGCTGAAGCCGCTAAGAGATTGAACGTCAAGCCCCTAGCCCGCGTCATCGGTTACGCTGACGGAGAACGTGAACCAATTGACTTCCCAATTGCACCATCTGTCGCTATTCCTAAGCTCCTGGAGAAGACCGGTGTCAAGAAGGAGGATGTGGCTATGTATGAAATTAACGAGGCGTTCAGCGTTGTCACTCTTGGTAACCAGAAACTGTTGGGAATTGACCTCGAGAAGATCAATGTTCACGGAGGAGCTGTGAGCTTGGGACATCCTATTGGTATGTCTGGTACGAGAATCGTTGGCCACCTGTGCCATGCTCTGAAGAAGGGTGAGATCGGAGTAGCGACTGCGTGCAACGGTGGTGGTGGTGCCTCAGCTATCATGATCGAGAAACTGTAAGTCCTACAAACCTTACCCACACTGTTTATGAATTGACAAAGATTTAAAAATGAATAAGTAATTGAATTTCGAATGCCATATAAATGAATGTTGTCTGTTGTTAAATGTTTTATTGTGTTTGTAAACTAACGCATTATCGATATATTCGTGTTTATTTTTTTATTAAGATCTCGTTATATGTTTTGGACATGATTATATTCCATAATTGCGTTATTGGTTAAATAAATATAACTTTTTTATTAAATTACTGTATTTTAATTTTTGGTCACTTGCCATTATTCTTAGTAACCAATTTGCTTTAACCAGACATAATCCCATATTATACAAGCAACTCTTAGTTTACATTCAAGAATAGAATACGTTACATAATATTGCAAAAACCATGAAGGTCGCATTGTTAAGAAACAGGTTTTTTTGTATGAGCAGTTGTCGGCAGTAGTCAAATATGTGCATACACGTGTTTATTAACTACACAACATACTTAACAAGAGCCTATTATGATAACGGCAAAACAACACAGTTCACTTTGCCTAAATATTTTACCATACCATTTTACGATTTCTTAAATAGTTACATAATAAATATTTATTTATTGGGTTAAAAAAAAATTAAACAAATCTCAAAGTGTATAAGTATGTATATTTCATAAAATATCACAATTTAGTCTTTACTTCATATTGTAATGGACGGATTATTTCGTATAAAAGATATAACATATAAAAAACTCTTAATTAATCTTTTTTTTATTTTTATTCTAAATAAGAGAGCAAATAAGCAACCTCAGTGAGATCTTGGGGCACAGACTCGTGGTAGCATAAATATAATTCTCTTGGCTCTGGTTCACTGAAAACTCGACTGTAACAAAAAACAGAAACCTGTTTTTTATCCTTGAAGAATATATTTTATAACATTCAAATAACAGTCTCCGCACAGACAGCGAGATTGCATTTAGCAAAAAATATAAATAAGGTACTAGCTAAAAATAGAAACTCAAAGGTTAATTTAAACTATTTTTTTGGCCTGATTTTTCAATCATTAGACAAGTTACCTGGGGTATATAATCATGATGCTGTCGCGTCAGAATGTTCGTATAAGACAATGACAGCAACATTTTATTCTTCAGATAACATTTATCTGACTGTTGAAAAATCACCTCTAAATCAACCTTTCGTGGCAAATGTAATTAAGTGTATAAAATAAAAAATAAGGAAATCATTGTAGCGATATTTGGACATTCCGTGTAACCGGGGAAGATTTTGTGTGAGAAGAGGCCTTTGCTCAGCTGTGGGCACTTATAGCCTGACGATGATGGAACCGGGGAAGAAATGTATACCTGACTCCATTCAATCATATGTTTTAAGTCTTTGACTGCTGACAAAAAATAGCTGACAAATGCTACTTCTCCAATAGCGTAAGGCACCGTTCCCCGACAGGGCGTTCAATTAGTAAAAAGACAACAATTATGTGCAGCCTAGGTATCGCAATAATTATTGGTCCTATCTGTCATTCTATCTATTATTATAGATATGCAAAGGAAAAATCTGACAATGGCTGTTCTTGTAAATCTCTAGCGTGACAATGAGTCGGCCTTATACTGGAAAAGATACCGATATTAAAGTATATTACATAGTTATTATGTTTTAAGTTCTTTATTTTTTCTGACTGTTAAACAATTATTTTAAATTTTTGTTTTCTTTGTGAGTGTTTAATTTTTTTTCATAATATCTTACTTATTAGTCGTGGAAACCTGTAATTGTATTTCTAATGAGAATGAGTATTAATTGAACTAAGTCGCTTCGGCCTGCGGATTCGCCCACGTCGTATGTTGTAAAAAAACTAGCCTATGTCCTACTCCAGAGTATATCTTATGTCTGTGTCAAATTTCATCCAGATCCGTCCAGCCATTTTGGCGCGATGGCACATTTTGCGATCCTAACCTTTGCATTCTTTGGCTTGAGAGACGCCACGGCGTCCTCACCTTCCGCCTGACGCAGGTGCTTACCGGGCACGGCAGCTTCGGTAGGTTCCTGTTTCGGATTCAGCGGGTGGAAACGCCCGAGTGTCGTCATTGTGAGGACCACCTAGAGGATACGGTGGAGCATACGGTAGCGGTATGCCCTGCCTGGGCTGAGCACCGCCGTATCCTCAGGGAAGTGATCGGCGGCGGCGACCTCTCGCGCCCGGCCTTAGTCGAGGCCATGGTGCGGAGTGAGAGGAACTGGGACGCCGTCTCCTCCTTTTGTGAAGCAGTCATGCTCGCAAAGAGAGAGGCGGCCCGCGTGAGGGAGCAATCCTCCTCCTCACGCCCCAGCAGCCGCAACTGGCGACACTACGGGCGTCGGGGATCGAGGGACGATCTCCGGCCACCGTAAGTACGGGCCTGCGGTCGGCGAGTAAGGGCAGCTCGCCGCCCGACCAGAACCAGGCCCGAGCGTACGGCGCGTAGCGTTCCGCGCGCGCCTCAAAGAGCCATTCGACCACCACAGACGGGGCCCTAAAGGGCTGATGTTCAGCCGGGGTTGCGGGGTAAGCGCAATGAGGCACCGCGACCTCGGCACAGAGCAGGAGAAGGAACAGGGGGGTTTTTAGTCAGTAAGAGTCTGACACTCCCTCCTGCCCGGCCCTGGGCGGGAGAAGTCATTTGATGATTTTCCACTCACAAAAAAAAAAAAAAAAAACCTTTGCATTCTTAATATTAGTAAGATTTGAATACCACTTGGTTTTCATATGAATAAATATAAAGACCCATTGCTGGCCCCAATCTACATAAATGGTTATGAGACTTACCCAACAACCCAAAACAGGTATGGCTCACAATTCTTCTTGCTAACCCCGCACTGGCTCAGTATATCAACAGGCGCCTGAAACAGCATTCCATGCTCTTTCACCGCCACCAAGATTTTGTTCAAAGGATTGGACGGCGCGTGGTTTTTCTTGAATCTGAAAAAGTAATTCTATTAATTATATGATACAAAATCTTGTTACTACGAATAAATTGAAAGTGAGATTAAGTTCACACTTCTTTATAATTTTATTTACGCATATAATCAATAATCTAACACGACCCAATACAACAAACAATTAATTTGTTTTTGCAAATAGGCCACAAAACAGCCGATAGATACTTCATCTAGTTTGACGTGTATAGTGGTAGACAGTGGTAGACTTTCTGAGAAGAAATGTCGAAATAAATTCAGAGGTTTGAATAAATTGTTAGAAAAATACGATCTATCTAAGTACACGATTTTAACGATTACTATTACTATATACTATTGATTTGAGTAAGGAATGTCACATATTCCACCTATATGGAGCTCCAACTATTAAGGGGACGTTGCAGTAAGTATAAAAGTGATTTTTACTGGAATCTACCTTCATTTTTATTCAATAAAAAATCATCGAGTACACATCAATAAAGTTCGATTAAGTATATTATAACTTGTCAAGTCCCTGCCTCAATTGGGCCCAGCAGCAAAAGCTAGAGGCCAAAGCCAGTTTCTAAAGGAAAAGTCAATACTTTTTTTAAAAAGAAGATTTTTTTATTTTTATGTAATATATAGGGCACACTTGCAACTTCCCTGGTTGCAGTTGTCCATGGGGGCGCCGATTGCTTACCAGGTAACCCGCCTGGTCGCTTGCCGCAGTATCAAATGAAAAAAAAACTATATAGATAATATTTTACCTTATACTATGTTGCAGCAACTCATGTATTTGCTTACAAGCTGATCTGAACGTCTTCACTATGTAAGAGTAAAGTGCATTATTAGCTAGAACTTCTATGTTCTTTACTGGTGCTATCAATACTCCTTTCTCAGATTCCAAGTGTACAAAATGAAATAGAACATTTTCTTCGCCTGCTGTGATTCTGTAAATAATAATAATAAGGGAACAAATGTGTATTATAATTATTTACTTAATAATATTGGGTTTTAACCGATCGACATAAGGTCGGAATTCTTCTGACGGGAGCAAGACAATCTGTAAGTGTGAGTAAAAAATGTTTAGTTTACTTTAGAAGTCGTCAGTTTTGTCTGTAATATTCAATCAATGCTTTAATCATCGATCTTTATGGATGTGAAGAGTGGACTCAGCTATCATTGTGTCGATAGTCGTGTCGGCAAATGGTCCCCAACATCCTCAACATCGGCAGTATGGCCGCCGTATCTTGGCGAGTCTGAAGTTAACCGGTTGTCTGCGCAATGTATCTTTTAGGAACAAAATTGTGTACTGCGCAGCTAATTCGCTAACTTCAGACTCGCCAAGATACGTCGGCGGTATTGTACATTAAGTGGCTGACGTTAGGCGGATGTATCAAGGGCCTCATACAGAAGGCAATCCTTCTTGAAATAGCACGTATTGTGCGGGAGTTCTGTTTCTGGAGCCCTGAGTACCGATAGCTTGGACCTTGAACCGCTGCCGACTGGGTCCTATTTTTATATTTTGAAATATGTAATTCAAAATATTAAAATAGGTTATTTTTTATAGTTATTTAAACAAATATCTGAATGATAGCCCAAAACACATAGTTCTTATATGTACCTACATATATCACACCACAAAAAAGTCACATGATTGGTTGTTTGTATAAAGCCTACCATTTAACATTCGATAACACTGATGACGTCAAGAAAATAAAACGATAACCTTAACGGAAATTTGAAGTCTCTCCCCCCACCACCTATTAAAAATAAGGCGTAAGTGGGCGGAGTTTGCGCATGAGTGGATTGCATGACCTCCTTCGCAATATTACATGTCTCTATACCATACTTGAGTACTCAATAAGCGCTCCCGTTATTTTTTTCTCGCCAAATGGCATGAGATCTCTTTATTATGTAGTTAGCAAAATTTTGATGTCCAATCGTTTGACTTGACATCTCCTAGTTTTCTATTGAGCATATAGATAAGGCTGCTTTAGTCTCGTTTCGTGAGAAAAAATAATTTTAGCTTTATAAGGTATGGTTATCATAATAACAAATATGATTGTAGTTCGAGTTAAGAAAAGTTAAGTAAGTTAAGTTAAGTTAAGAAAAATCTAACGTGTCTAACCAAGAATGTGGTATTACTCTCATGGGTTATGGGGGGTATATGGTAGACGTTCCACGTAAAATTTGGCTCAAAATGCTTTAAAATTAATGAGGAAAAAGCCACGGCAAGGAATAATGATTGTATTTTGTTCGAGAGTTGAGATGTACTACTTCTGAACCAGGAGGCCAAAGTTGGAGTTGAAATGGTGAGCGGCAGAGGTAGAAAACTGGTAAGTACCAAATAACTTTTTCTTTTTTAGGGACTTATTTCACAACATTACACATGATTATGTTCATAAAAATATGTTCTATATAATTATTTTTTATAATAATTCGGGTTAGTGACTTTGCAGATATTGCGCAACCGCCTTAAGTTGTCTACTTAAATATTTAATTAGTTCATTTTGACATCTATTGCAAGAAAATTCCGTAAACAATATTGGGCTTTGTCAAAATTACAAGTGTACTCTAACACCGTCAGCAAGCGAAACGATCAATATTTTTTATTTTTATATTTTGCATATATAAAGCCTGTGCTTTACATTGTCATAGTTACAGGGTGTTTTATTTCGTTATTTTTATTAATGCGTAAATACTTTAACTTACCTCTGTGCAGTAACATGATTAATTTCATTCAACAAAGACTTTCTTATATCAGACATGTCTAAACTTCCACTGGTTCTGCTCCGATCCTGTTGGGAAAGAAACGAAAGCATAAATTACAAAATAAAAGACATATAGATTTGACATTAAGTGTGAGAGAACCAAGCTTCGGCACGAATGGGTGAGGTCGACCGCAGCTATATAACTTTAAAATTATGTGTGGGTGAACCAAGCCAAGCTGCGGCACGGCCAGTTGGCTCGATCGGAGTGATACCACGGCCTCGCAGAAAAACAGCGTGAAACCGTCACCGGAGGCCCAATTCATCCCTTCCCAATCTTAAATATACGGAATCCTTATCCCTAAAAGGCCGGCACGCGAGCCGATCCATTCGTGACGTAGCATGGCTCATCCACACTTCTTTACTTTTGTGTCACAAGCTCCCTAGGATGTCATAAATCCATTATCTTACCAATCTATCCCAATCTGAATCCGAGCCAGACGAATCCCGACGGTTTCTTTGTTCTCTATCCGCTCTTCTACCCTGTATCCGTTCTTCACTCACTTCACTGTAAATTTATTTTCCTTCTATTAATTTCAGGTCAACGACAACAGATATAATATATATTTTAAGAAACAAAACGATAAAAATAACTGGTTCAGGTTTTTACAATTCGAACCAGAAGTTTCTGATATTAACGTATTCAAACAAACAAAACACATGGATATTACATATATCTATACTGAAGAGGAAAGATTTGATTGTTTGTTTGTATCGAAAAGGCTTCAAAACTAATCGACCTATATGAAAAATTCTTTCACTATTGAAAAGCTACTATTACCGGTAACGATTTTCTACACATTATAATATAAAGACAATGATCTTACCTATTACTCTTCAAGCTGTTAGAATCCTCAGAATAACTGACATCCAAGCTAGAATGTCTATACTTTTGAGCAGTACTATAAGTCTGTGCGTACAGACTATGGTGGCTGCCATAATTAGTTAGAGAGTTCATTGAATTCATATCACTAGTACTCGATCCCACATTGATTTGTTCTGAAGAATTGTGACGCCGTTTCTCTGTCTGTTTCGATAATTTCAGGGTTGATGTTTTGAGTGTCGAGTCTGGTTTTAGAGCTGGAAGAATGAACTTAACATTATTAAATAATTTGATCTTGCATCTTCAAACGTATTTCTTTTGATGAGCAATGAGTTTTGACCTTGATAGCCTATGACAGCCAAAGTTAGCACTCTTGGGAATGTGAGACTAGTTACATAACAGATGTAATACAAAAATATTTCTTCTGTAATGTAGATGTTCCATGGGTGTGTTTTAATTTACATACACAAGCCGCCCAGACCCGAAGCAACGATTTGTGGATCAAACAAAAGTGTTTTTCAATCCACTGTGCGGTCCGTGCAGTCAAATTATATCATAATTTAGCATAAAAAGTATAAAAACTTACAATTAATATCTCTGATTTTCCTTCCGTACTTGGTTAGATATTCTGGTGACGTTTCAACTTGTGGCTGTGAGTTGGAACTGAACAAAGACACCAGGTACTTGTTCAATCCAACATCGTACAATAACTCTAGACAACTTTCACACTCTTCCACGTAGAACGGAGATGGCGGGGTCACACCTACTGCCTAGAAATTTAAATATCAGGAAACGTTAGTTTAAAGTAAGATAATTAATTTATTAATTTTAATCAAACCGTAACTGTCATACTGTCCTAGGTCTGCAGGTCTGAGCTTTAACTTAGAACGTACTCAACTTACTTTAAGTAAGAACTGTGAGTGCAATTTTAATGAACTAAAATTGTATTTTACATCATTATAAATAGAATACAAAAACAGCACGCTGCGTGCGCAGTCTGGCGGTATGTACGTAAACGACTATGGACCGTAATGCAGTTGTAATAAAGTTAATAATTTAATTAATACGGTAGCAAGAAATGGGTATTAACAATACTTACATCTTCTGTACATCCACCAGCTTCCATCAATGTTGATAATACAAAATGACCCTTACCAACAGTAAGAAGAAACCAACGGCCGTCTGAAATTCTATAAATAAACATTTATTATTAAATTTGTTATCTGCATTGCACATAATGTCATTTTTCGTAGCACTTCTAGTTTTTTTTTTAATAATGGTCTAGCATTTTGGCCATTGTCACGCTTGGTGGCAAACGATGATACGACCTACGATTAAACACCGGTACTCATAAGCAACCTATTCATTCAAAACACTAAAGTTAGGTTAAGTTAATAGTTATGTTCCCTTCGGGGAACACAGACTCCGGAAAAGGATTCTTAGCGGTTCTTAGCGGTTCTGATAATAAAACTGTAGGCGAACCGCTTCATTCGTGTGGGTGGTATATCCACCATGAATTAATGACGGTTTGCACACGCAAAACCTTTTCGCACACGAAAAAATTTTTCACTTGCTTTATGAAGTCCTATGTGAGTAGGGAGATTTCATACACGAAAAATTTTGTGATAATTGAAACAACCCATATAATTCTTTAACCAAGAATTAATTGAGACTTCTTGCTAGACATCTGCACTCGACTAATGGACGCACTATCATCATCATCATCATCAGCCCTTTTCAGTCCACTGCTGGACATAGGCCTCTCCTATTGCACGCCACTGGGATCGATCTTCGGCCACTCGCATCCAGCTCCTGCCAGCCATCTTGCGCAAATCATCACTCCACCTTGCCTGAGGACGTCCTACATTACGTTTGCCGAGACGCGGTCTCCACTCAAGAACTCGTCTACTCCAACGGTCATCGGTTCTTCGGCTAATATGGCCAGCCCACTGCCATTTCAGCTTGCTAATCCGGTGGGCTATGTCGATTACCTTGGTTCTCTGCCGGATCACCTCGTTTCTGATTCGATCTCGCAGAGAAACGCCGAGCATAGTCCTCTCCATAGCTCGCTGAGTGACTTTTAGCTTGTGAACCAGCCGCACCGTCAGTGTCCACGTTTCGGCTCCGTATGTCATGACAGGTAGGACGCACTGATTGAAGACTTTCGTCTTTAGGCACTGTGGGATCGACGACGTGAAGACTTGACGCAGCTTTCCATATGCTGCCCAACCTAGCTGAATTCTTCTATTCACCTCGTTCTCGAAGTTGTTTCTACCCATCTGCAATGTCTGCCCGAGGTATACATATTTTTGAACGACTTCGAGAACAGCGCCGTGTACTGCAATCGGTTCCGGTAGTACATGTTCATTGAACATGACCTTGGTTTTATCCAAGTTCATCCGTAGGCCGATGCGTATAGAAGAGTCAGCCAGGTCATTCAGCATCCGTTGTAGGTCCTGCAGCGTTTCTGCTACGATGACGATGTCGTCTGCAAATCGCAAGTGAGAGATGTACTCGCCATTTATGTTGATGCCGCGTCCTTTCCAGTTCAGCGTCTTGAACATATCCTCCATTGCATTTGTGAACAATTTCGGGGAGATAACATCCCCTTGTCTCACACCTCGATGCAACGGTATCGGCCTTGTTTGCTGATCCTGTACTTGGACGGACATGGTGGCGGCCTCGTAGAGACATCTCATCACTTGGATGTATCGCCAATCTACTTGGCATCGCTGCAGGGACTCCAGAACAGCCCAGATTTCGACCGAGTCAAAGGCTTTCTCATAGTCCACAAATGCTAGGCACAGGGGCTGATTATACTCCTCAGTCTTCTGTATAATCTGCCGCACTGTGTGGATGTGGTCTATGGTGCCGTATCCGCTCCGAAACCCAGCCTGCTCCGGTGGTTGGAATTCGTCAAGTCTTCGCGCAAGGCGGTTCGTGATCACTCTCGAGAACAGCTTATAGACGTGGCTTAAAAGGGAAATGGGTCGATAATTCTTCAGTAGGGTTTTGTCACCCTTTTTGAAGAACAAGACGACCACACTCCGACTCCACGCCTCTGGAGTTCTCCCTTCAAACAGGACAGCGTTAAATAGCTTTTGCAGCTCCCTGAGTACCGGTTTGCTGCCTGCTTTTAGAAGCTCTGTCGTAACGCCATCCTCTCCAGGGGCTTTTCCATTTTTAAGCTGTCCAAGAGCGATCTCGATTTCGTCAATGCTGACTTCTGGCAGGTCTTCGGTGTAATGGCGTATTAAAGTGGCTCTAGAGTCCTCATTTCCGGGGTCAGGTCGAGATGCATGCGAAGCGTATAACCGGCCGTAGAAGTTTTCTACTTCCGAAAGAACTGCCGGCTTCGAGACAACGACTTCTCCACTTGCTGTGGTCAACTTCGTCAGGTGGCTTCTTCCAAGAGATTGTACGAACACTTTTGGCCCCCGGTTTTGCTCGATCGCTCTCTCGATTGCAAGGGTATTCGAGCACCGGAGATCGTGTCGCACGTGTTTGCTAATCTCTCGGTTTAGAGCCCGCTTCTCTGACGAAGTGACGGGTGGGTTTTCACGTCGTCTCTTCATAAGCCCTAAAGTCTCTTCCGAAAGCTTCGACTTCTTGCCCTTACGCTGCATTTCACAAAATCTCGTACCTTCTTCCCTGAGAACTCGAACCACGTTTTCAAGGTTCCGGTTAACGTCGGTTGTGGTTTCCAGGGCAGCAAATCGGTTCTCCAGGTTTAACTGAAACGCTTCAGATCCCATTTTGATTTGAAACAGGGTTGGTCGGAGCCTAGCCTTCATCAAGCGGACTCGTTCGGCTCTGAAGTCGATATTCAGAGAGCCTCGGACGAGTCGGTGATCGCTACCGGTATTAAACCTATTAATCACGGAGACGTCTCTGAATATGTGCCTTTTGTCCGCCATGATGAAGTCGATCTCGTTCTTTGTCATAGTGTCGGGGCTTTGCCACGTCCACTTCCTTTGGGGCTGCTTCTTAAAGAATGAATTCATTAAGAACATCCCCTCCCGTTCGAGGAAATTGACGAGCATTTGCCCCCTATGATTCCTGTTTCCATACCCATGGGATCCTACTACCGATTCACTGCAATTTTGTACTCCCACTTTGGCGTTAAAGTCCCCCATAACAATGTTGAAGTGAGTCCTAGTGGTGGAGTGGAGGGCCCTCGATATATCATCGAACATCTCCTCCACCTCATCATCGGAGTGTGCCGAGGTCGGTGCGTACACTTGGACCACCTTAAGGCTATACCTCTCGGTGAGCTTTATAATGAGGTACGCCACCCTGTTCGACACACTCGACATTTCCACAACATTGTTAGATAGGGACTTGTTAACCAGAAACCCAACGCCACCTTGGGATTTTTGGTCTCCCTCACGGAAGTACATCAGGTGGCCTGATTTGAGAGTTATCGTGTCCTCCCCCTCTCTTCGGACTTCACATAACCCTAGTATGTGCCACCTGATCTTCCCAAGTTCCACCTCTAGTTGCGCTAGATGCGAGTCAAGCCGTAGCGTGCGTCCGTTGTACGTCGCCAGGGTCAGTCTGTTGTGGTGGCCTCCCGTAGCCCGGAGATTCTTAGCACCCCCTACCCCACCGTTACCATGGTCGCCACCATGACCAGGAATAGTGGGGCTGCCGGGAACTGGGGGCCGTGGCCTTCGTTTTTTGCCCATAGGAGGTATTGCCCATAATCGCCACGCTGGGCAGGCGGGTTGGCGATCGCAGGGCGAAACTTTTCGCACCGGTAACGCTGCTGCCCGTCACCGGCCTGCGGTACTTAATTTCGCCTGTTTGTAAGGGACGGATATACCGCCGTCGGTCGGTCGCCAGAGCCTCGTTCGTTGACCAGCAGGATGCACCGCGTGCAGGTGAGGTTGGCTTGGGGCGAAAGATGGAAGTTCGCCCCCTTACATCCCCACTACGCACTAACTAAAATATAATCAGTCTTTTACTGGGAGTATCGGCGCTGATTGCTTACCATCAGGATCCTAAAGCTGGTTCAGTTGCTTATTCCAAAATAAAAAGTACAGACAACATACACATAAAACAGTAAACATTTTAAAGACTTTGTTTCAACCTTTCGCTTTTGCAATAAAGTTGAAAATCGAATAACGAAATTTTTGGTTTATAAAACCTTTTTGTACTTTAATCAGCGTGGAGACTAAAGGCCTTCTCACCATACGCATTCACGTTAATATTTACTCACCTGAACTCATTCCCATCATTCTTATTCTGTTTCCTATGTTCATTAATGAATACTTCTCTCCAAAAAACAAGCTTCTCCAACTCTTTCTCTGTGCTAAGCTTCAGGATACCGTTTAGTCTTAAATATGCATTTATTTCCTTCAAGTCTTCATCTTGCAAGTGTGAGCTTAGTAGGTGTCCGGAGTAGTATAAACATGATCCAATTACTGTGTACAGCCTTTGAAAGTTTTCTATGTCGTCTGTCTGTAAAATGATACATTCGCCATATAAACAATATAGCATTAAAGTCAAGGATGTTACCGAATTTGCAATAATGAAATAAAAAATGTTGCAATTAGGATAGATTAAATATTAAGAGCTAGCACAAGATAGTTCTTGTATCTCTTAAAGGTAGGTACAGAATATAAGAGAGTGTCTAATGGAAGACTTTCCAACGACTCGATTGCGACTTGTAAGGCGCGACACAGAACGGCAACAAACGACAAGCAAACATAATGTCAAATTGTACTGAATTCAATTAAGTAATTTGTACTTAATACAAATATACTACTTGCTGAAATCAATTCAGTAATTTGAATAAAGTTTTAAACAATATTTATGGGATATAAACTCTTACCCATTCCCTATAATCAGCAGCTTCCAGTTCCGTAATAGCATCATCAACCTGCACCTTGACCTCCAAGGGCAGTGTGACAGAGTGAGCAGCCAACATATCTTCAAAATACAAGCCAGCGTTCTTTCCATCATTTTCTTTATTACCTCTACTATTAATAACCAAAGTAACAAAAACCCGGGCAAAAAGACTATCCAACTTATCAACATTATTTGGCTTAGTAAAACTTGATTTCAAAGAACCATATAAAAATTCTAGCAACCTCACTATATCTGCTATTACTTTTTTCGCAGCAAACAAATCAATCTCTTTGTTGGGAAAAGCAACCAGCAATAAATCATTGTAATGAGAAGTGAAAGTAATGTTGATCAAAGAATTGTTATGGAGTACTGTAGAGGTTGTAGGTTCACTGGTTCCTAAAGATTTTGGAGCCAAATGGTTCAAGGTCACATAAGCCCCTCTGGTGTTATACAGAAAATTCTGATTAAAAGGTCTTGGATAGCAATACAGTACTCCTTTATCATCATTACTGTTGTATTCAATGTCATTACAACATATGTATAGAACTGAACAGAGGGATTCCTTCAGTAGATGTGTCAGAGAATTTTCTGGAGCAGTTTTAGACTTCAGTAATCTTTCCAAATCCACCTTATGGCCTTCTGTTGGCACTTGGAATGTTAGTCTTGGACTGTTATGGTCCTCGACAACTCTCTGAAGAATATTATTTATGTTGTAAGAGTTCACTTCAATGCCATTTATCTTCAGCAAATAACATCCTTTTTCCACTTTAGGAGTGTATATAGCTCTGGCTTCTGTTAAAAAATCTGCAACTGTTAAAGTTTTGCCATCAGCATGTGTCTCTAGGCTTAGACCAAAGAGTTTTTCTATTTGGCAATTTTTTTCACTGCTGAATATCATGCTTTTGCTGACCTGAGAAATATATTTTTTACATTGAGCTTTAAATGACACACAGAAACTGATATTGATAATGCTAAATACCTAATATTAGAACTAGTATTAGTTTGCATGCATTTTTATATCTGGAGAATAGTAAGGGGGTCGCTGTAGACTGAAATAGTATGTACAATGAAAACAAGTTCTATTATTTAAAACAAAATAAAACTATGTGTGACTTATGTGCATAAAAATAAAATATGTGCAAAATAAAATCCATACTGAAGAAATTTTTACATACCTGAACAATAATAAGCTTTTCATCAGAAAGCACATTTCTGTTGACATTAGATGCTCCATCATCTCCTTTTCTTGTGCTCTCTGCATTTTTTGTCTTGTGAGATTTTAATACCTTAAATATTCTTCCTGTAATTTTTTACATTATTTTTTTTTATGTTGCCCTACACTAGGATTTTCTCCTGTGTCTTGGATGTGTTTACAAACATACAATATCACATACATATCACACTTAGACCCGGAACAACAATCTGTGGATCACACAAAGGGTTGATCCATGCAGGAATCGAACCCGCGACACGTTACGCAGCAGCCGGTTGCCATTTGCACATTTTATTAATTTGACTGAGCCGTCAATGTGACCAACTGTGCAGTCAAATTATTAAAATGTGAAAAGGTGGACTTTAATTGATTAATTTGAAAAAAATAAGAAAATTTGAAATTATTTATTTTAATTTTTTTTATATATTTTTTTAAGTAAGAAACTATTTAGTTACTTGTTTTTCCATTTGAACACAATAGTCAAAATAAATTAATTACTTTTTACCTTACCTTTTGTAGATCGTCGGGTTGAAGATCTTTTAAAGTTGTTTCTCAGTTTAAAAGTTTCACAGTTTTCCAAAAGAGGTGTCTTCGTGAAATCCGTGGTTTCGTTATCATTCTTAATTTTAATGTAAACTAATTCTCCGTCTTCACCAACATCGGAATCCCATTCAGGTACAGAGCTATTAAATTAAACAAGTATACTTAATACAAGTATTTAATGAATATAGTGGAAAGTTACTTTTATTTATAGTTTATGAAGTTAGTAAACTCTACCTTTCTGAATCTGAATATTTTGAATCATCTGAGGAGTTAGTCCAGTCATTATCTGAGTCACACGGACTGTCATAACTTACTTTAGTTTTATAATTATTCATAATTTTAAAGAAGTAATTTATTCGCTGCGCATTGTTTACAAAGAAATTGATAAGTATGACATGACGCGAAACGAAACAAGGAATGACAATGACATTGGGAATTGGGATGTCATATTTAAAGTTTTCCAAACGAAATACCTTTTAAAGTTTTATTTATTTAATTTAATAAAAACTAAATCGAATTGCAAAAAATACTACATTAATGAAACTCGGAATACCTAACACAAATACATAAAGGGAGAAAACCGAGAAAAATAAACAACATAAACAAACGCCATAGATTATACACTACAGACAGAGTAGAAGAAAACAACCGTTAGTCAAAAAGTGCCACCAAAATTCAAACATGGCACACCATAACATCTTATTATTTTTATATTCCTAAAATAACATTCCAACACGGCCAATAATTTTAATATTGTTTACAATCAGTCATATGAATTTTAACTTAAACTAGGTAATTTATATCGTTGCCTGATGGATGACTGTTATAGCAAAACGTACAATAATGGTTTGGTGGATTCTTCGAGTTATATTATTTGTGGAACAAATCATATAAGAAATAATGGCAAGGGGAAAATGGAAACGTCATGCAGTCATGCATTTGGTGGACAAATTGAAACGAATAAATTAGAGGAAACTTATGTTCAAGTGTCAGCTCCGACGACGCCCCTGGTGTCAGTTTTAAAAAAACCCGTTGCAACTTTAACAAGTCGATCCGTTGATGCAAAGATTGCAGCTCCAATCAAAGATTTCCCCGAACCTTTCTATCCTGTTAAGCTGGTATGCATATGTTCGTTAGTTTTTACCCAATCAAGTTCTGTGGTGTGGTGAGCCCTCAGTCGTGACTCTTTACACACCCTGACTAGATACCTACCTACTTAGAGAGCACATGTACATTGAATAAATCATATGTATGATAAATCCTTGTATTTAAATAACAATTAAATTAAATTTAGTGTACAGTGAGTAAACTAAAATATATGATCTGAATCAGTAGAAAGAACAATTTTAATCGAACTCTTTTCTCGAAAGTTGCGCTAGCATCACACCAACAAAGTTCTTTTATTTTTTCAGGATTCCATAAAACAATTAAAAGACAGTACAAAGAAATTATTATGTCTGCTAGAAGACATCCAAGCTAAAACAAACTTAAATACGTATCCTAAGCCCGATGCATCCGAAGTCAGGCTGGTTCAGTTGCCAACGGACGATGTATGGATGGTTTATTTATTTATTTTATTTTAATATTAGGTACCTATTTTTTGTTTTATTTTTTATTTAAGTACTTCCTATGCTAAACCGGTAAGAAATTAAGAAATCTTATGATTATATAATGTAGGTAATATAAAATACCTACATCAACTACGAACAACCTGTACTTTACATGTTTATGGTTTTTGCAGACAAACACATATCTAAATGCTGAAACAACTGAACAAACACAAAATAAATTTGAAACCCAAACGAAAGCATTGAATACGATTTACATAGAGGTACCTGGCACACCTTTTTTATTATTCAGTAATAGCACATAATTATCCGACCTACGTTTTATAGTTCGAAAGTATTGGCAAATGATTTCTCTCGCACCGGGTGAGGCAGGAGGGAGTGATAGACTCTTACTGCCTAAAATCCATCCCGTTTCTTTTCCTTCTCCTGCTCCACCCCACTCGGTGCCGCGGTACCGAAACCCCGGCTGAACATCAATGGTGGTCTCTGAATTTTAAGAAGGTTCGCTCGGGATTATTTCTCGTCAGGCGGCGAGCCACGGTAGCTCGCTGTCCGCAGACCCGGAAATTAAATTTATTGACTTCTATATAAGGGAGGAGAGGTCTCAATTCGCCGTAAATATGCTTTTTTAACATTCAACTCATAACTTTTAATTTTTAATCAGTTCCCACCATGTAATAGCAAACCTTCAGTCCATAGACCGGACAGCTTGCGCATCTTTTCTCTAAACATAAGTAGGTACAATTTAGTTTACAAGATATCGTACCTAATGTAAGGATTACGCAATTGGGGCCGTTGTTTGTGTTACCTAAAACTTAAACAAATACTAATGTTTACATATCTCCCCCATTATGTTAGGATGAAGATGACGATTGTTCAGTATTCAAAAGGCTGACGAGAAAATGTCATTGTTTAAATCAGCTGGAATATAATGATTTTATAATACATTTCAATGAAAATACCAAATACTTTACAAGCACCACAGGAGAAATCATAAAAAATATGCGAATTCTGAAGAAGTTTTTGTATATGGGAAGCAAATATACAAAAAATGCGCTTATATTTTTAAATGAGGTTCTTATCTATTTTACGCTTTTTATTTTCTTTTATTTATTATTCTATTAAGAAGTACAATATTACGTAGAATAATAATGTTTTATGAAATATCATCAGCATTAGATTCTTAAGGCAATAGGTCCATTCAATGAATCAGATTTATGTCGTAGAATATTGGAATCACGTAATACATATGTACAGAACAGAAATATTCAGCCGCAAAAAAATAAAATACCTTCCGCACAATATCTCTATCGTTATCGATATTCATAGGAGTTCCCCAAGTTTCTATTCTGTCACCCACTCATATTTTTACTCATTATTTGGAGTTGAGATATGTAGTAACCTGCCAAGCTAATCTTGAAAGTATGTAGCAAGACCACGTAAAATTCTTGAGCTTGATCTTGGTTACTCCTATTCTACAAAACACAGGGTCTGGCAGATTCAGCCTACGCAGAAAAGGTGGAAATTACTCAAGGATGTTCTCACTCAGACATGTGTAATGTTTTTGAAGACCACTCCATAGTAACTACATGTATATCTTGGCCGTGCAAGCTCGAGTACTATGGGGATACCGTGACTCAGGTAGAAACCGTAACATTTATGTCCACCATAAAAAGCTTTTTGTCTATTTAGTGAAACTCATTTTATATATAAACGTTGCAGAATTTGGCAGCATCATTCTTATACAAACTAGCTCAATTAGAAGAGGGACGTCGGTACCTGAAATTCACATCGAAAGTCACCAATGATATAAAAAAGGTTTTAAGGAAAAGAGGATCCAAATTAGACAGGAATACTGTTGAATTATTACATGCCGCATTAAATGCGATGCACCCACCAATGACGCAACATGTTAATGGTACTTACCAATACAGGCATCTTGATGAAGGTAAAATTATAAGGAAGTTTTCTACCAATATCTAAACTAGACAAATAACAGAAAATTGATCTGAAGTTAACATTGACAATACTACAAAAAGGGAAAAAGATAATTCCCTGGTATACCTACTGATTGATTATCAGTTGGACATAAAACAATTTGGATAAGTAGGTAGGTAAAACCCTAACAATCTTCTTTGAATTAAGTGTAGAATTTTTACTATGAGGTCACTTATTTCAGGTTACGGGAATGAAAATTATAAAGCTCTGCTAGAATTTAGAGCTTATATGTCGATAGACGAAGTTTTCACTCACTTAGAGCTACTAAATAATTTAAGTGGGGAAGAAAAAGGCAAAATGGAACTAAAGAATAACTTGTCTAGTATGCTGCAACTTTTCAAAGATATGTTGCAACAATATGATAACAGTGAAATGAACATAATAATCACAAATATTCTAAACAACATTGTGTCTAAAACTATGTTACAAGAAAAAAAAGAATCAGACTGGCCAAAACCTATGATTGTGGCAAATATAGCTACAGAGGTAAAAAGAAAAATTACTGGTTATTTTGGTGTCAAAAATTCTTCAATGTTTACATATTTAAAAAACTATAATTATGTTTTAGCCCATTAAAGTGAAAAATGAAATAATTCAATTATCACCATTATCAACACCACCCCAACATTATGTAAAGAAACATAACAAGAAGTCAATTAAATCAAGAAATTACTTGAATAGAGGTCATAAACACAAAGGTATTCTATCTACAAGAAGATTAATATTATCTTAGACCATAAACAGTACATCAATGGCATGTTTCAGATTCTGGAGGCCCTGCTGCTCTTAATAAATCAAAAAAGTTGATAAAGGGTATCTATATAGTTTGTAATAAATAAACACTACCACAATTTTAAAAATTATTTTTGTTTGTATATATTATTAATAATTTTTAACAACATTCTTTTTTTCAGATAGAAGACCAATAATAGTAGTGCCAGTTGAAAAAAAATAAAGATGGTACAATGGTAAAAAAAGTATAATACCAGTAACAATACATCATTTTTATAAGCATCAAGACCAACCCACAAAAAGTAATTTATATTAAAACACTGTATAATATTATACAAATTATTTGTAACAAATTACATAATTATTTATTTAAATAAAGTTTTGAATACAATATTAGTTTTTTAATTAAAACACACCTTGGCTTAATACAATCTGTAAATGCATTTGGAATGATTAGTAAGTAATCAAAGCTTTTTTGGTGATTTGGTAATGTGTTGAAACTTATCATAACAAGAGTTAAATATAAAGTTAACCATCTAGAATATTATTTTATTACTATTACCAATTGGTAATAAAATCTGTTCACATTTTGTATCAATACAATAATGAGATGTATTTTTCAAACATAAATAATGAGATCTAAAGAAAATAACTTTAACTCTACAAAAAAGTCAAATAATAAAACAAAAACTATTAAAGCACACAACATGAATAAAAATATATAGCTGTCAACAAATTAAATTGTATCAATTTAATCACTAAAGAATTAATCAAATTGATTATCATCATATTGCTCATAATTTCTCCGTGATCTCTCATAAACTCCTACTGTTCTTTTATTGGATGGAGCTGGAGCACTTTGTCTGAATAACATTGCCAACAAAATATAAAAGCCTCCCACAATTTTGCTAAAGAAATCCAGCAAGCCAAGGAACATAGGGGTAGAGTTCTTTACCAAGATAGACATTTCTCTAATCAAAGCTAAAATAAAGTTTCCGAGAAAGTTTACAAACGAAGTACTTCCAGTGAAGATAGCAATAATGAAAGCAAACAAAAATGTAACGAATTCTTTCACATTGCTTATTGATATGGCACCTTTTAAGGTGTCAACAATATCTGTACAAGTTTCATTAAGAGATGCAACACTATTTTCCAGTTTTTTGTCAGATAGTTCAGTAGTTTTACATTTCTTCACAGCCCCAGTCAAAATTGGTTCTACTTCTAAGAATGCATCTGATATGTGCCTCAAACATTTTAATGTCACCATAACTTCATCTTCTCTAAACTTCAAACTCTTAATTTGGAACCAAAATGGCCCAAAGGGTTGGTTATCTATCTCTGTCCACAAGCAAACCCCATTTGTAGAACCCATAGCTTCTGTATCTGTAATGCCTATCCAATGTGTGTTGGGGCATATTGTAAGTAATTTGTGCTGTACCTCTAATAGATCCTTTTTTAACTCCACTTCTGCAGGGCTGACTACAACGACGTCACGGTATCCGATGCGCTTGTCCGCAAGTCTTCTTTCTACATAACGTCCCAAAAAAATGCGCGACTTCAATCTATCTTTAAGATAGTTTTTAATCTTTGTTGGTTCGGTATCGTCCTGGCTATCATATTGAGACGTTCCTAAAGATGAGTTTAGAGATAAAGCCGGCTTAATTACACTCATTATATAAGTATGCTTTTATAAATAAATTATTGTATAAACTTCAAAACAACAAAGATCGCTCTGTCTGATTCAGCTTTTAACATTAAGTGTCACTGTCATTAGTGTTAAGTGTCAACTTTAAATCAAATTATGTACCTATAATGACATTAGACAATCCAATGTCCACTCCATTTTCATTACGAATCTTAGAAAGGATTCATTTGATTGGCTAATTATAAAATTTATAGAAAATTGGCTCTTATTTCTATCGCTCATATTTTTGTTTTGTATCTGTAGTATTTTCAGAAACTATTTCCAAAAGTAAAACTTAATTTATTAGGTTTAAGTACCTTCGGAAATTCTGCGTTGAACGAAGTTAATTTCTCGATTGATTTTATCACGAATTTATTCGTTCGGGAATCAATTTGCTAACTTGGTAGGAAACAACCGGAAAAAAAGAGCTGCTTCGGAAGCTAATAAACGATGAAGAGATACCAATATTTACAATTATTCATCAGATCAGTTTTTTCTTTATTAAATTTGTGCACAATTTCAAATTCGCACTGTAACGTGTCGTGCAGGCTCTGTAAGTATGTAGGTAATACACAACACTCTTTGAAGACTTAAATCTTCGTACATTGCGAAGGTATAGTAAACTAAGCTAATTGTGTCTATGCTGATTCTATCAATCTGCAGGGTTTGCCACACTTTTGTAATAAAGGATTAATATGAATAATTATTTATTTAGTCTTTGAATATGATTGCATATCGATTCTTCTTCGATCTTTATGCTAGGATAATTTTTTACTAGTCATCCTTTTGGTAGTGCAGCTGCAGAGATGTGTGGTAGGTGATAAGTAACAATTCTATAATATAATATTTCGAGTGTAAACTTTACAGATCTATGTACTAGCATGTGTATTTAGCATTACATTAATTTATTAAGGTTCGGGGAACGATTTTTAGATAAGGATCTTGAAAATACTCGATGTTAATTATTTCTTTTTCTGTCAGCCCATCTGCAACGTTTTGGGAGCACAATCATTATGCGTACAGCCAAGGAGTAAAAAAAAAAAGGTTTCTAAAACTACAAATGAAACATACTATAATTTTATAAAATTTGTACAATTTAATTAAATTGATACTGACAATTTCAAAAAGAAGACTTATGCACCCATCAAAGGTATTAAAACATGTTTTGAGTATTTACAAAATGTCTCCTAGCTAAAGGTTTACAAAACAATGGGTAGAAACATTTTTTCGAAATTAAAGAATCTTTACCATGAATTTTATGAAGAAACTGAAGTCAAATAAGTATGTATTTAAAATCCAAGCTTTTCTAATGATATCAGTAACAGTATTGTATAAAGACAAATTATATAAAGGTTGTTCTAATAGGCTTTAGGGCACTTACAATTTAATTTAAGGAAATTGTATCTGTATTCTTTTTAATGTATTTCTTTTCTATATTAAGAAAATATGTTTTTTCCCTATAAATATACAGATCACTAGAATACCTCGGAATTATGTTCTGTACAATAAATATTCTTCATTCATATGTAGGTTATGTCTGATTATGTAAAACAAAAAGTAACTTAGTAAAATAATAATTAAACACATTATTCATATTGGCATCATATAAGCATAGTTTTAATACTTACTATTTTAAGAAATGTAACTGAATCTAGTATTATATTTTACAAAAATAAATAACTAGGTGGATTCTAAAGTTACTTTGTCAACAGGTGTACAGGAAAATATATTTTTTAACATTATAAGAAAATGTTATTTCATAAAGAGCAAATGTTTCTATAATTATATTTTATCTGATAGGACCATCAAAAAACGCTGCATTCTTTGATCAGCTAGGAAAATTTACTATTCTAATTAAATATTATAACTAAACCATTCTTGAACAAGTAAATCTTAGGACTTGACTCTCATTAATTTCAATGTAACAGACTAAAGAATAAAAAAATGTACTTATTAAGTACCTACACTTAAAAAATTATAAATTAAATTGAAAATTTCACAACAATGTATTTTTAAATTGTAAGCTTTCAAGTTTATACGACAAAGTTCAATATTATCTACATTTTATAAGAACAAGTTGACAAGAAGACAATATTTAATTTGTTTACTAATTTAATATAAAGACGGAGTAAAACCTGCAATAAATATAAAAGTGCTAAGGACCTTCCTCTTACAATAATAATTGAGTGCTCAGCTCGATAGAAATCACAATTTCTCTAACTAGCAATAAGTACTAAAAGTGTACTCATCATTTATACCTACGAAATATATAATACCACAGTAAATCTTCTGCATTTTCATTCACAACCACATTTATAAATCCATACTAACTTCGTTGTGAACATAAGATTGCAGAACAAGCGTCAAAACTATAAAATTAAAATTATTTCAATTTACGAAATAATATTGCATAAGGACAGTACAGTCAATTAACGACAGCACCCTGTGCAATCTTAGGCCATAATATTTCTTCAAAACAACTTTACGAAATCAATATTGCATTTTTCCTAATGGCACTTAAGAAAATGTCATAAGTCATAACAAACTATAATCTAGACACAATAGTGTTTACATTTGACACAGCCCAGGGAAGGACTTTAAAACAATAAACTTAACTATTTGATATATCAAACATTCGAGTCGCAACAATCGCGCTTGCAAAACAAAACTGAAGACAACATTTGCACCAATTTGGTTCTCTTTCAGTACATAACGATAATATAGAATCGTTGAAACCGCATTTTCTGCGTCAAATCCTTGAGACAGGATTGTAAAAGGCGTTAGTCGCCGGCAAAGCTATGCAAATATTTTGAATATTATCTCGCCAGCAAATGGTGGCTATAAATATTTTTTTATTTCACGATAAGAAAACCGTGTACACTTGCTAGGAACTTGTCAAAGTTATCTTGGAATCTGAGTTTGTGAGTCCTCAGGCCGTCAAAGAGGACTCCATTTGTTAGGACGCCGAAAGCTTCCTCTAGCCGCGGTACGTTAGTGGGATCATTCACAGCGTACGCTTCTATGAGCTGTCGCGCCAGACCTTCTAGTAGAGCTGGTTTAACGCAAGTGAGGGAATATATAGCGGCTCCTGCAGCAGGTATTGAATCCGGAGGTATTTCAACTTTAATAATCAGCATGAGTAATAACTCTGCAAGAGTTAGAAGGGACAATGCGTATGGGTTATCATCGCCTAGAGTTCGCACTTTATTAGACAATCCTACAATAGTATCGCAGCATAAAGTGGATACGTCGCAGGACACCGCTGTAAGTCCCACGCGTAGCGCTGTCACCACCATGTTGAAGTCGTCTATCGGTAGATTAGTTAGCTGGAAACAAAGAAATATAATTTTAAAAAATACAAAAAGCACTTTAAATTAATTTAAAAATATGCATATAAAACATTGATAACAGAAAAAGTATTTAAAAAAGAATTAAGGGTGGAAAGTTTCGATTGAGGGAGGGAACTACGAGCCGGCCCTGAAAGGATCTGTGAGTGGGTAATTAATTAATTTAGATAACAATTCTAACCAATAGTATAGTGCATATATAATCTTATACCCACGGAATAGAAAATACAGTGGAAGTGCCACTCAGACATCGCGCGCTAATCAACATTATATTAGAAATTATGCCTTGTTGTGCGGTTTTCAACTGCAAAAAAGTAAGCAGAAAAAAAATGTGTCTTTCGGTGGTGTATCATATCATCGTTGACTATTAACCTTTGTTAATTTTAAATATATTTGATTTTAATGAAAATATCACATTTCATTACTTCAATGCAAACTATAAAGGGCCTTATTTTCATTACAATTAAGTTTAAATCTACTTGTTCGTTATGTGACGTTATATACAATACATTCCAGTAGTTTCGACGCTACTCATTTAGGGATGGGACACATTCGTAAATTAGGTTCGTATCGATAATTTTTCATCATCATCGTTCAGAAAATTGATTTTTGATAATTTTAGAGTATAATTCATAAATGTTTAACTAAGATTTCATAGACTCATCAACGTTTTAACCACACACAGCGTGCATCCGTCTATGGTAGGTGCGGGTGGTTAATCACCATTTTTATTTTATAATGTTGTACATGATTTTTGACAGAGTTACAAAAAGGAGAGTGACTCTCAATTCGACCGTACATGTTTTTTTTGTTCGTTCGTCTCCGTTATTTATGAACCGATTTTAATAATTATATTTTTGTTGGAAAGGAGATAAAACTTGTAGGAGCGCGTAGTGCTTTTATATGTTAAAATCGAAATCTTTAATAATAACTTGACCATCTCCAAAAAATATTAAATCTTCAAAAAAAGTTAATATTTTTCTTTTTTTTTCTATTAGAACCTTTTTCCATTACTGATTATTTGTAGTTAAATCGTGTCGATAAATTACATATATTGCTCACACGAATACAATAAATAACATCGATATATTGGGATACCCTGCCCTATCTGAGTAGCAAAATAGTAATGTCTATTGGTACAAGTGCATACAAATATGACATCTATTTCAGATGAGAACAGAACAGAACAGATTAGCCTTTTGAATAGAATGAATTTGTTACAACGCCATCTAGCATTGAGTGGCTGAACCCGTTGTAAATTGTTTTATTTAAGTTTTTTCCACGATAGACACAACACGACATGATAACAACTTTCGCTCATTGTTATAAGACTCAATTTTTAACAACATTTAGATGATGATTTGCTAAAGTTGCGTTTCAACTTTTTACCCAATTATATAGTATTTTTTTATGTGTGTAATGGACAATTTGATTTGAGAATGTGTGATTTTGGCGACACTGGTTTTCCTTTTGAAAGAGTGTAGGGTTCTTCTACTTAATTTTCTGTTCTGTGCTTATACTCAAAGGATTGAGCGCTGTTATTATGTGATTTATTGTAATTACTTCAGATTTGAAATAAATAGTAAAAGCATTTGATCGCAGTAGAATTTTCAGAGCCAAGCTTCAGCAGGAATGGGTCGGCTCGACCGGAGTGATACCACGGCCTCACAGAAAACCGGCGTGAAACAACCACAGCGTTGCATTTCGCCGTGTGGGCGAGGTTGCCGGAGGCACAATCCCTCCCCCTCCCTAATCCCGTGTCAATCTTTAAATATCCGAAACCCGAAACCGAAAAGGTCGGCACGTACTTGTAACTCCCTGTCTTTCGCGGCGGCGCTGATTGCTTACCATCAGGTAATCCGATAGATCGTTTGTCGACCTATATGATAAAAAAAATGAGTAGTGGTGTAAGTGACCTGGTCAGCGTTGTCGAGGTCCCGCAGCATGCGGTAGGCGGCGGCGGCGAGGCCGGGCAGCGCCAGCAGCGGCGGCGTCACCAGCGGCAGCAGCAGACGCAGGCCGCGCGCGCAAGTGTCGCCCGCGCCCCCGCACCGCGCCACGCTACAGATCACCTCCATCAACGCGCAAATGTCCTGCAACAATTTTTTTTTTTAGAGAAACCTTGCCCCACATTAGGATTTTCTCCTGTGTCGTTGGTGCGTTTACAAACATACGATATCATCACACCCAGACCCGGAACAACAATCTGTGGATCACAAAAAGTTGTTCCGTGCGGGAATCGAACCCGCGACACGGTGCGCGGCAGCCAGTTGCCCAGCCACCGCGCCAACCATGTAGTTAAACAACAACAACACCATCATTTTAGTTTTCTGTTAGGGAGAGCCAAGCTTCGACATGAATTGGGTAACATATATCTACATACGGGTATTAATTATTATTTGAGTACCTTAGTAGGATTGATGTTATGACCCTGTTGCACAGGTCGTAGTCACAAGCAGATTTTAAAGCCTACCAAGGTATTCAAATAATAATTTTCCGCGTTAATACCCGCGTAAATAAATATATGTTGTTGATATGGAACGCGAAAATTTTAAAGTTAGTATGAATTAGGTAGTTTCCTAAGGGCAGTTTTTTCAGATTGATATTATAAATTAGAGATAAATACTTAGTCGGGTCATAAGTTCTGTCAAAACCTTATATTTTTAATTTTCGATTACTGGCCAGAAATTCTTCGACTTATTTTAAAAATAGAACTTTCGCGCTTGTAGAAAATAAAAAAGAAATTATTTTTTATTCATTTTTAAATATGGAGTGGTCGAATAAAGAAGACAGAATCGCGGTTATCGCGTTGCACCGCTGTGGTTACGCGCCAAAAGACATTTTCAATATTCTTCAAAATTTGAAAATAACGTTACGGTTTGTTTATCGTACTATCAAACGATACACCGAAGAGTCAAGCTTCGAAGATCGTAAGAGAAGCGGCCGACCTCGCACAGTTCGGACACATAAGGTCATCAAAGCAGTGAAGGCGCGAATCGAACGAAATCCCGTACGTAAACAAAAAATCCTAGCTCTGCAGATGGGGCTAAGCAGAACCACTGTTAAAAGAGTACTAAATGAAGACCTGGGACTACGAGCTTATCGTAAAAAGACAGGACATTTTTTGAACGAGCGTTTAAAAAAAATTAGGCTAGACAGATCCCGCGCTTTGCTACGACGGTACGCGGGAAAAAAATACCGCGAAATTCTTTTTTCGGATGAAAAATTTTTTACTATTGAAGAAAGTTTTAACAAACAAAATGATAAGGTGTATGCCCACAGCAGTGAAGAAGCAAGCGCGCGTATTGCGAGGGTCCAGCGTGGGCATTACCCTTCCTCATTCATGGTTTGGCTTGGAGTCTCATATTCAGGCGTAACTGAGGTGTTTTTCTGTGAAAAAGGTGTGAGAACTAGTGCCGAAGTTTATCAAAATACTGTCCTAACAAACATAGTGGAACCTCTTTCTCAGACAATGTTCAGGAACAGGCATTGGATATTCCAACAGGACTCTGCACCGGCTCATAAGGCACGAAGTACGCAAGACTGGTTGATCGCTCGTGGAATTGACTTCATCCGGCATGAAGACTGGCCCTCTTCTAGTCCAGATTTAAACCCACTGGACTACAAGATATGGCAATATTTGGAGGAAAAAGTCTGTGCTAAACCTCACCCGAATTTGGAGTCTCTCCGAGCATCTCTGGTTAAAGCAGCGGCAGACATAGATATGAATGTGGTGCGTGCAGCGATCGATGACTGGCCGCGTAGATTAAGGGCATGTGTTCAAAATGGGGGAGGGCATTTCGAATAATGTAAATAAAATTATATTGTACATTTAATGACCTTTCATTTCATATATAATTTTTAAATAATTGTCAAAAGGCGTATAAGTTATTACATCAAAAGTTTGTGACAGAACTTATGACCCGACTAAGTATATTTGAGGAATAAAATTGTTGCTGTCACTGTCTTATACAAACATTCTGATGCGACAGCATCATAATTATTATTCCCGAGATAACTTTTGTGTAAGCATTGAAAAATCAGCCCTAAGTCAATAATTAATAATTTTCACTTTTCAGTATTGACGATTTTAATGAAATGTTAAAAAATAGTCATAATATCATTTATTGATTTCACGATAAACTAAACCCAATTTAGTTTCCTAGATCAAAAATAAATTATTCGATGTTATTTTAGATACTTTTTAGCTAATTTTTAGGAAACAAGTAAGCTATTTGACTTCCAAATACTATGACATCATAAGTCAGTATTTCATATAATTCATAGAAAAGTGTCGTTTTTGCCATTTGGATAAAAGTATTGAATTTGATTCTTTATTTTACATTTTTTTAATAAAATTTTCAGAATTCCATGTGACGTAAAAACATTCTGACGTCATAAATATTATGTTAAAATGTTGTTATAAATAAGTTTTCAAAGTCTATCAGTTTAGGTGGTTCTTTTGCCATATTAGAGTATTGGCTGTGTGCAAAGCGAGTAACAAATAAAAAGCGGACAAATAACGACCGCAGCGCACAACACGGCAGAAATTGGAAACAAATGCTGATTATTAGCTGTCGGTTTTTATGATTATATTCATTTTTTACAGTAAAACTGTTGAATGAATTTCACTTAAATAATGTCACCAATACTATTTTAATATTTGGTTTTATTTATTTTTGCAAAGAAAATGTATAATGTTTACATTGTTATTATTTGACAGCTTTAGCAAATGTTGTAAGCGCTACGCGTCGCCACTTTCGCGCACATAACCAATAATAAACATAACTCACCTCATACGCCTCTTCCTCAGCATCTTGAGGAATACTTGATATTTTACCAGAGTTCCACCTCATATACACTTCAAATGTCGTGTTACATATTTCCAAGAACCTGTAAATAATAGTTTTTATTGTAAGAAGACATTTAGCCACTATCTCAGTTGGTGGAACGCATTTTAAAAACAAGAATATGAAAACTCATGTTTTATTCTTATAAAAATTCATCAAGGTTACCAAAGATGAATAATCCTTCTTTTGAAACTATTAAACATATTATAATATGGATTACTTGTAGTTAAACATTTACAGAAAAATATTAAATTACATTTGTACATACTTATTCACATTCTGAGGTTGTACTGAATGCAGCATCCGTTTAGCGCTTTTAGCTAATAAGTTCAACGCTGGCAACACTACTCCGGGATAGTTGTGATATCTAAATATGATCCCTGGTATCTTGTCTAAGGCACCAATTAACATCATAAACTGTTCGTCCATTGTTCCCACCTGTAAGAAGAAACAGTTATGAATGAAATATAAATTTAAAATATTGAAATAATTAAAAAAAAAACGTGGCGTTGGGGGACATCCAATCGAAATCGCTTCATCCGTTCAGGCTCCAGGATACCACAGACAGACAGGCAGGCAGACAGACAGACACGTCAAAGTTATATCACCCCTCTTTTCCCGTCGAGGGTTAAAAAAGAGTTTTATTTATATGGGATAGGTTGGCAAACGAGTTGATGTACTAGCTGACAGTAAGCGATCCGCGCCGCTCATAGACATTCGTGATACCAAGTTCGATGCCGACGTTTTGTGGGTAATAAGGGTTTTAAGTTTAGGTCATTTTAGTTTAGGATGGGGAAGGATTGGGCTTCCAGTAACCTCATGGTGTAACATCTCTAATTAGTCATAGCACTAAAACTGTCAATGTCATTGTCTACTATAAATAGGATAGTCGAGATAGTGTTGACCATTGTCAAAAGTCTAAATCATTTATTTTTGAACATCAAGCAAGAAAAAAAATGCAAGAGGATTAACTTTATGCGTGCTAGTCTGTTCTGTCCTCTTGTGAAGCTATTTGCTCGTTCCAAAGTGTAGATTTCTATGGAGAAGAACGAGCAAGAAAGTCCATGGTTACTCTTTTTCAGTCAGTTTTACAATTCATTTCTTTGTTACATCATTTAATCGGTTCTTGTATGTGAGAACAGAAGAAGTTAACCTCAAGGACAACATATTTAGACAGTCTCGAGTTGACCAGTCCCAAGGCGGCGCCCGTTCATGAACATGACACGAACACCAGCACCGCCCAACTCAACCATATTATGGGGAATCGAGCGATCCACTGCCTGTGCCACCGCCAATGAGACCTCTGAGTGGGCATGACAACTCCCAACTGACAGAATGACTTATGCACTTTTGCCAATCTAAATAAAGGCTGACTAAATCTATTCCTATGTCTAGTATGAAAATGTTAGTCTGGTGCAGTGAGCTGCCCGAATGTGTACTGTGATGTTAAAGTCAAAGTAACCAAGATCCAAGTCCTTTATTCATATTACACCTCACTCACAGGGCGAAACCCAACGTTAGCGTAGATTCACTTCGGTATCCTGTGAGATATCACAGCAGTCGAGCCGGCCCGATTGGGTACTATAGTCAGAATTTTAATTCGATTCCTGATTTGACATGACCTGCTGTGACCATTTTGTGAAATAATGATACCACATTTAACAGTGTACTGATGAACACAAAAATCGATAAACAATCAGTGAATCAGTTTCAGGAAGGCATTCAAAAAATTACGGCTACCGAATGGTCTAAATGCGTATCCCATGTTGTCAAAGAAGAGGAAAAAATGAGTAAGCTAGATATGTTAATTGACAATAAATATCACAGACAAAATTCATAATAAATGTTACAGAAAGTAACAGCGATAGCGATAGCGATGACGGCGACAATTTATAAAATGTCTGTTTTATTTGTCATGTTCCTTTATGATCACATTTTTTATTAATTTCACACACAATTACAAAAGAAAAGTCTCAGATCGTTAATTAACTGTCAAAACTAAATTATCGATTCAGAAATATTTTATTTCCTGATAAACTTAGTTTTAAAAAGTCGTGGTGGCCCGGAGGTTAAGGCACCCGCTTCTCATGCATGAGGGTGCGGGTTCGAAACCTGGCAAGTACCAATGTGACTTTTTCCAAGTTATATGTACTTTCTATGATTATTTAGACACCACTGACATACGGTGAATAGTGTTGCCCAAATGCAAGAACAAGACGAGACTTAGCCAGTCTTGGTCTTGGTCTTGCGCCAATACACCTGGTCTTGGTCTTGCGCTCCCAGTCTTGGTCTTGGTCTTGGTCTTGCAGCAAGAGTCTTGCAAGTCTTGCAATTACCTATTAGTCTATTACTTTTTATTAAAGTTTACTTTAAATCTTAGAAAAACGTATTAGAATTGGAACATTCTGAGCTTGAATTAACATAGCCATAATAAAGATTCAGCAGATTAATAAGTAACTGAAGATTTGATAAGAAATTCGAAAAATCAACTGACCTATATGTCGTTTTCCATGGAAGTAACTGTTTCTTAATAAACAGTTATAAATGATTTATAAGCTTACATTTGCTAAAACATGTAAAAAAAACACAAATTAATTACAATAACTTGACTGTATTTTAAAGAACAATACTTATCTGTCTAGAAAGAGATTGAACCCTCAACTTATAAGAAATTTAATAAAAGAGTTTTACGATGTATCATTTATTTGAATAAAAAATAAAATACAACACAGATCAACAGCTTTATCATTAGGTTATGATATTTTATATCAATTTTTTTGACCAAGAATTAATACAAAGTAACCATCTGGCAGACTCATCACTTAACCTATTTCTATGTTTTCTAATTACTAATGATGCTTTAGAAAATAAACGCTCAGCAGTTTCAAGTATATTTAAAAATTGCTACAATATTTATTAAACGGGTGATATTTGACCACATTTTTGCATTTTTTTCTTGTAAAAACTTAAGAAATATAATGACTAAATGTACAATAATAGTACCTAAGTAATTAGTTTAAAACCATATAAGTAATCAATATTATAATATATACTTACTAGAATGAATTAATGTGACATCTACTACCTATCCTTACCATTTTATCCTAATCATAATACTACTTGCGTGATCAGTATAATGTATTCATTTTCATTCTAAGCACTCTGAAACTTATTTATTCTTTGGAACACCTGTAGGTACTCTTAAAATTCGAAATTATTTTGCATGAGTGCATGAGTATACCTACGTCCTATGGCGGCAATCAAATAGTGTCAAATGTTATGATTTCGGCGTGGCGGCAACGATTGCTTTAGATTTCAAAAGAAGCCGCCGGCGCGTGCATCATAACCATGTACTTCCGAAAAGCGGCAAATTTCTTTGAGAAGTAAGTACAAAACCTTTGATGCCGCATTATCAGAGTGCCGATGGTTAAAACATAACTATGCATGCACTCAGTTTGATTTTAATAGATTTTTTTTTTATTCGCTATGTTTATGGTATTAGTCGTAATGCGCATAGGTCCAGTTTTGCATATTCTTTGATACAATTTTTTGCGTCTCATAGAATTCCTAAGCGTACCTACCTATATACACCGAACTGTTACACCTAACTACCTACTCAGTGAAATAGCGCTAAGTCCTAGCTGCAAGACGCAAGAGTCTTGCAGGCTCAGTCTTGTTCTTGCTCAAGTCTTGCACGGTCAGTCTTGGTCTTGGTCTTGCTAAAAATACGCGGTCTTGTTCTTGGTCTTGGTCTTGCAAAAACGCAAGAACAAGACCAAGACTGCAAGACCAAGACTGAATTTGGGCAACACTAACGGTGAAGGTAAACATCGTGAGGAAACCTGGACTTATAATTTCTAATTATAAGTTTGAAATCGCCAACCCGCATTGAGCAAGCGTGGTGATTAATGCTCAAACCTTCTGCGTGTGAGAAGAGGCCTTTGCTCAGCAGTGGGCACTTATAGGCTGACGATGATGATGAAACTTAGTTTACAAGAGTAAATTTATAAACGGGAGGAATCGATTCAGAAATATTCGATATCCATATCGAATAATTTCGCAACGTTACTATTTATTGCGTGTCATAACGTTGCAACACTGAAATTGTCAAATCTGGAATGGAATTAAAATTCCGAGTATAGTTATTTTTTCTTTATAGGAGAAATAGCCGATGCCTCGTAACTTTATTTCACCTTAATGGGCCCCATCCCATGTGTGGTGATCTGAATGTTCCTTTCGGGCTACGCGCGCGGATACCAACGCGCCTAAGCCTCGGGTCTAGTTCTGGTCGGGCGGTATGCTACCATTGCTCACCATCCAGTCCGTCCACAGACCCTGGCCAAAGATCGCCTGGCAGTACTCAACGCCCAGAGCTGCTTCTGGCGTGAGATGGTTAGCTCGCTGACGCGTTCCGCCCGCTCCCTAGCTAGCACGATTAGTGCAAGGAAACCACTTCCAAGTATTGCTCGCTCCGCATCATGTCTTGAACTCTTGAACTAAAGCCAGACGCGGGAGCAAGAAAGCATGACGGAAAATGAGGACATAGTGGCATCTCTCGTAACCACACCTCAAAGAACCTAAGTACAAAATAACAAACAGACACTAAATACAAGATACACCATTGCTTTTCCAAAAATTGCCCTGGCATTGAGTGTGTTAAAAACCTCACCAGAGGCTTTCCTGTGTTGTGTGAAGGGGTGTGGTACATAAACATATAATATAATAAGTTCATAATTACTTACCTCAAGCACGCCGTCAGTGACACCAATAAAGCAGTCGAGTGTATCAGCGAGCATATTGCGTACAGGTTCCGTGTCTGACTCCATGTTTATTAAATTCATTAACTTCTCTTGCAGGGACACTGTGCTTGATAACAGACGATTCCGGACATCACCTGAAAATGATATAAAAGATTTCTTTTAATGAAGTACTATGACTCTTGATCATATATATATATATCTGTGTGGGAGGAACCATGCTTCTCACAATGGGTCGGCTCGACCGGAGTGATACGAACACCTCCCGAAAAACCGGCGTGAAGCAACACTTACATTGTGTTTTGCCGTGTGAGTGAGATTATCTGAGACCCAATTCTTCCCCCCATCCTCATCCTCAATCCTCAAATCGCTATCCTTAAATCCCATATAACCCAGAAGAGGCACCGCACACTTTTTGTGTTGTATTGTAGTAACCTTTGGCACTACGAGTGTCCATGGGCGGCGCTGATTGCTAACATTAGGCAATCTGTTCGTTTGCCGACCGTAAGCTGACATAAAAAAAATCTACCTCGGCAAACATAATTGATCTGATTCTCCAATGAACGAAGGTCGTGTGTTTTTTTCAGTATTAGGGCGCAAACGAAGGGCACAAAATAATGGTAATAGCTAGTGTTACATAGATAAATACCTTTCGTGGATCTAAAGGCGGGTCATTTATCTTTATGACCTAAGTTTGGGCCAAGCGATGCCAACGCCCTCTACATACCTTCGGCATAAGTAGCGGCGATAGCGAAGGCTCTGTGTAACTCCTTTCTTAATTCTCCCGGCAAGTTGCATGCGCCCGCTTCCCATTGCAACAGTGCAAGGAATTCCTCACACGTCGCTAGTGGGTTTTGCCTTTAAACAGTTAAGAACATTTATAAAGTTTTACTGTTTCTTTTAAAAGTGTGTCATTTCCTTGCGATATTTTATGTCATATTCAACTAGAAGATATCGATTGACGATGCGATTTTTTGCAGACGTAAACTGTATCCCAATGATAATAACTAAAGTACTTTGAATTTTAATTCGATTCCAGATTTGACAATTTCAGTGTTGCAACGTTATGACAAGTATTAAATAGTTACGTTGCGAAATTATTCGATATGGAAACGGAATATTTCCGGACATTTCATTGCTATCACTACATCAGTTACTTTCTGTAGCAATTATTATAAATGTGTTTGTGATATTGTCAAACTTCCTTTTTCAAATACGGTAGTTTCCAACTAGTCAAATTCAATACTTTTATCCAAATGTCAAAAATGATACTTTTCTATGAAATATGTATGAAAAACTGAGGTATGACGTCATAGTATTTTTGCGTCAAATAGCTAACTTATTTCTTAAAAATTAGCTACTAAATATCTAAAACTTAGTGTATCGACAGATCGATGAGTAAAGTATAGTTATTTTTCAATATTTTATCATATTGAAACGTCGAATTAATTTATTTTTGACCTAGGAAACTACCCAATTCTTTGACAACATGGGATACGGATTTAGACCATTCGTTTCGTATTTGTTTCAGGAAGGCTTTTAAAAAAAAATTTTTTTTTTTAAAAGCCTTCCTGAAAAAAATCTCATAAATGAATTGACAATTTTCAGTGAAAACTATCTAGGCTCTTTTATTAAACTTTTATATAGAATAGAGTAGAGCTCACTTATTAATAAATAATTATTACGAATTATTATGTTCTTATTTGAATAAAAAACAATAATTTAGTCTTTTTTGGCACACTGATTGTTTATCGATTTTTGTGTTCGTTATTACTACAGTATTATATGTGGTATCATTATTTCACATAATGACAGTAGCTAACGTCAAATCTGGAATCGAATTAAAATTCTGTCTATAGCTGTTATGCTTTGGATAGCCATGCTTTGGGATGAATAGGCCGGCTTGAGCGGAATAATCCAAAGACCTCGCGGAACACCGGCCGTGTGAGGTTATCGGAAGCCTTTCACCAGAATTCTGTACTCCAGTTCCCAAATCACCAATCATTAAACCCCTAACTACTAACAAAAGGCAACATAGGTACTTGTAATCGTGATTGATTGACGTAAAGAAAGTTTTATAGGTGTTACTTGTGGTGTGAGTGAGCGAGCGTGGTGAGTAGTTGCGTGGCATGCGCGGCGGCGGCGGGCTGCGCGGCGTGGTGCCGCAGGCAGGCGGCCGCGCGCCCCGCCAGCCGGGACACCACCCACGACACGCCGCGGGACCCGCGCCCGAACGCACACGCCAGAATCGGGGACATCTGTGTACCGAACATTGTCAACCACCCGTATATATCTACCATAATCATATGCCCGGTTTCCGAAAACCCGATCAATGTTAAAAACTTAAAATCAACTAACTAGGTGTCAAATATCTTGTCAAGTAATCTGATTGGTTGTTGATAATTCAGTCAACCAATCAGATGACTTGACAAGAGATTAAATTGATTTTAACATTGATCGGCCTTTCGGAAACCGTGTGTTACTCAAAACTAAATCAGACACTTGATAAAGTAAATGAATTTTTTATTATGTATTCTGTATTCAATTAGGTAGTATTTGACGAGAAAAACATGAACTATCGTAGTCAACATTATTTTTGTTCTAGGTTAACACTTTCATAAAACAAAAATTATTATTATTATATATAAGTATCGCAAAATATCAAACAGTATTTGTTTTAAGAACAGGGCCTGAACAGAAAGAACATCACGCAAACAGCAAATTGCAAATTCAAAACGAACGAATTCTAAATGAACTATCAAATGCAGTAGTTGAGAGTTCATTTAGGGTTCAGGCATAGGCATTTTTGGTTCAATCAATACCAATGAACTGTTTCACCTTACCACAGAAAATCATAAATATTTATTTAGTTCTTTCATATTCTAAAACCAAAGGAGATTGTCTTATATCGAAACTTACCTCAGAATAAACAGACGCCTGTGGCATCAAGTAAGAGTTAGCCCATATTTTGAGCAACCATGAGATGGTAGCGGACAGTTCTGGACTGAAAACACTGCCCAACCCAGCTTCCAAAGCTGCACATTCCCACGCATTTATACGCATAATTTCACCAATAAGCCTGAGGAATAGAAGGAAACAAATCGATCATAATTATATAACACTGCTCGTTTTCTATTGGTCGTAGCGTGATGTATTATAGCTTATAGCCTTCTTCGATCAATGATACAAAACTTATTGTTAAATTCGAACCAGTTGTTCCGAAGACAGACACATTGACAACCGCTTTTCGAAAGGCCGATCAACGTTAAAAACAATTTAATCTCCTGTCAATTCATCTGATTGGTTGACTGAATTATCAACAACCAATTAGATGACTTGACAAGAGATTTGACACCTAGTTAGTTGATTTTAATATTGATCGGGCTTTCGGAAACCAAGCATTAAACGAACAAGTTCTTTAGCTTTATTGTATGAGTATAAATGTATGGTTTTAAGGCTAGTAGAGTTATCTGATTTTGTTTGTTAGGCAGATATCCTGCAAGAGAGAAGATTTCAAGTAGATTCCCGGGCTAAAAAACTAATATCTCTTTTTGTTTTAAGAATAAAGTTTTGCAGTGGTACCACGTATGATTATACGTTAGCCCTCTCATACATAGATTCTTAGGAAGTAAACTCTAAAATGAAAGTTTTGTAATCAATTTCAATGTATAATTATAGACCAATGATGCTGTCCATAAACGATGTGACCGCTTTGTCTTCTAGGTACATTAAAATAAAATTTGCAATTCGCATGATATAAATAAGACACTAAAAAAAGTTCACAATATAATTTGTTTACAAAAACACGATTAAACATTAAGGCCATGGGGATATTTAAATAAGTATCAAAAGTTCAACTATTAACATTTGAAAACGAATTTACATATGAAGTAAACTTGTAAAAGACTTCTTAGAACCGAATGAAATCGACATCTATTCTTCTTGTATTTGTTGACGTGCTAACAAAAGATTTTCCTTGCATTGTTATACAATATTTTACATAAGAACAGAACATTGCACAAACAAAAGGCAGGATATGTGATAACATTCAGCTTCCGTTTACACCAGATGCATAAATAAGATAGTACTAAATTACCTACTCTTTGTTGAGTGCAACAAAAATCATTCTTCAATTGTATGGTTTCATTTTCTATTTTAACACGCATTTTAAGTAGGTCGACCTGTGATGAACTATGCGTTAAGGTCTAAGAATCGGAATTACCCAACATATCATTCTTGTTTCATCATGAAACTCGCCAATACGTATGTAGATAAGATGCAACTTAAAATATTATTGTGCAATGGACCAGTAATCTTACCATGACGTGGTAAAGCGTGAATCTTTCGAGTGAGAAAGAGGGACGGAGCTATAAAAGGTGTATTAGCTCTATCCCTCTTTCAGCCCTCTGGTCTGATGATGAAATTCAAGGAGCCTTTCAATTCTTGAATGTTGACCCCTTTTTTTTTGTGACGGGAAAATCATCAAATGACTTCTCCCGCCCAGGGCCGGGCAGGAAGGAGTGTCAGACTCTTACTGACTAAAAACCCCGCTCTTCCTTCTCCTGCTCTGTGCCGAGGTCGCGGTACCTCATTGCGCTTACCCCGCAACCCCGGCTGAACATCAGCCCTTTAGGGCCCCGTCTGTGGTGGTCGAATGGCTCTTTAAGGCGCGCGCGGAACGCTATGCGCCGTACGCTCGGGCCTGGTTCTGGTCGGGCGGCGAGCTGCCCTTACTCGCCGACCGCAGGCCCGTGCTTACGGTGGCCGGAGATCGTCCCTCGATCCCCGACGCCCGTAGTGTCGCCAGTTGCGGCTGCTGGGGCGTGAGGAGGAGGATTGCTCCCTCACGCGGGCCGCCTCTCTCTTTGCGAGCATGACTGCTTCACAAAAGGAGGAGACGGCGTCCCAGTTCCTCTCACTCCGCACCATGGCCTCGACTAAGGCCGGGCGCGAGAGGTCGCCGCCGCCGATCACTTCCCTGAGGATACGGCGGTGCTCAGCCCAGGCAGGGCATACCGCTACCGTATGCTCCACCGTATCCTCTAGGTGGTCCTCACAATGACGACACTCGGGCGTTTCCTCCCGCTGAATCCGAAACAGGAACCTACCGAAGCTGCCGTGCCCGGTAAGCACCTGCGTCAGGCGGAAGGTGAGGACGCCTTGGCGTCTCTCAAGCCACTCCTCAAAGAGGGAATGTTGAACCTTGGACTGCCTATTAAGTTTGAGACCATTAGACATGATCATTTAACTTGTACGAATTCGATTTAAACATGATACAATAATATTACATGATCCATAAATATTGATTTATACGAGGCCTTTATAGAAATCCGATGAAACCTTGATACGACTTTTATATAAGAGAAGAAAATCTATACAAATATGTAGTATAAAGATGTGTAGTTTATTTGAAAGCACTAATCTCCGAAACTACTGGTTCGATTTGAACAATTCTTTTTGTATTTGTACAAAACATCACGCTACGATCTGTTGGAACCAAGCAGTGGGTGAAACCGCGCGAGGGTTGCTAGTTTCTAATGAGGTTGCTGGTCACCAAACTTTACTTCAGAATCTTGTTAAAAACGTAACTTACTTGAGAACAGAATCAACATTTTCAGTGTTTGTTGTTTCCCCGACCAGGTATCGAAGTGAGGCATCGATATTGGCGTTCTCCCTCAAACTGAAGTGAATGATCTCCGAAGGAATCATTACAGTCTCGCCTTCTGTGCAGTCAACGGCAAGGAAATGGCCTGTAAAGTAAATCAGAAATACATAAAATACATTTTAGTCTAAAAGCTATTATAACATGCTAAATTAAGTACAATGAAAATAAACCGAAAGTGCAACAGTATAAGGTTAGAACCTTTAAGCAATAATATAAAAAAACAACAACAAGGCACCCATGACACAGGAGAAAATCCTAATAAGGGGCCAAAACGGCCCCTTATTAGGATTTTCAAGTGTGGGAGATCCATGCTTCGGCACGTATGGGTCGGCTCGACCGGAGTGATACCACGGCCTCACAGAAAACCAGCGTGAAACAACCACAGCGTTGTGTTTCGTCGTGAGTGAGGTTACCGGAGGCCCAACCCTTCCCCTTCCCCAATCCCTCCTCAATCCCTGAGTCTCCAAAACCCTAATCCTTAAAAGGTCGGCAACGCACTCGTAACTCCTCCGTTGCGGGTGTCCATGGGCGGCGCTGATTGCTTACCATTAGGTAATCGGTCTGCCCGTTTGCCGAACTATTTATTACATAAAAAAAAACAAATGAGTTTCAACCTCAGCATAAGTTGGCTCGGTGACAACCCAAACCTTGTTTTGTACGCAAATATTAAATGACTCTGAGTACTGCAATTACTTACTAAACGTAACGAGCATCACAATGTTTGGATTGGAAAGCTCTACCAGGGTTAAGTTACACTGGAACTCTAATTTATGCAGGGCTCAACAGAACAGTGTCAAAAATGAAGTTTTATATCATGAAGCAGCTTTAGTATTTATTGTAATATTAAGAGATTTAAAATAGTGTCTAAGGTCACAAACAAAAATGAAAGATGGTTCAGATACAAAAATCTTAAGTGAGGTCTGCTGGCACGTATAAAAGTTGCGTGACAAAAATAGACATGTCTTTCTTTTTAATCATTATTGGTATACACCACTTATCGACGTTATCTCGTCGTAATAGAGTCTAAAATTGACTGGCCTACTGCCCTGTAGGTCAATATTAAGCGCGATTGTTTAGTAGGTAAGATGTGTCAGTTTATATTCCCAAGCAGAGTTGAGAGTGTAGAGAATAGGCAAGCGGATTTGTATTTTGAGTTGTAAACGTTATAAAGTATATTTTTTATACCTGTCATCATGAGTATCCAGTGGAGATCTTCAAATAGAGTGACTAAGTGACCTCCTCCACTGATTGGCAGTTTCCCCATATGCATCAACTGGAGTTGACTTTCTAACCTGTTGGCAAATTCACATTGATTAACGTCGTACACACGGTATGGAAGAACTTCATAATATTAATAATAACTTTAGCCCGTCGGGAAACAGGCGCAATAAGGTACCACGACCTCGACCTGGAGCAGGAGGAGGAACGGAGAGTTCGTCAGTAAGAGTCTGACAATCCCTCAGCGGTATGGCTAGGTGTGGCAAGTCATTTGATGATTTTCCACAAAAAACGTATTAATAATAACTTTTACTATTGTACAAGAACAATTCATGAGCGATTGCCATGCTTCAGTACGAATAAACCGACTTGACCAGAGTGATACCACGACCTCGTTTGAAACAAAGCTCGCTTATGTGTTTCGCCGTGTAATTAGTTACCGGTATCCCAAGTAAACGTGTAAAATAATCTTATTTAACATGCCGATGGAACTAATGAGTTTTACATAGTACTAATATTATAAAGAGGTAAAATTTGTAATTTCTAAGTTTGTCTTTGGTACAGCTGGTCGTATTGCCAAAATTCTTTCACTGATATACATATATAGCTACAATGTTTCTAAGAGCTAAGGTTATAAAACATCAAACCACGATGAAATGGAGCCGAGCTGCGGGTGAAACCGCGCGAAAGTACCTAGTACAAAATAAAGTCGCTTTTTCTGACGCTATAACCCTATTTTAAAAAAAAAAAACGTTTTTTAATAGATATAGTGGTAGAAGAGATAGGTTGATACGTATAATAACATCCATTAAATAGTGGACAAATCAAGTATCACCGTTTATTATAAATAAATAACTACCTACCGTTTACTCCGATCCTGAAGTAATGTAAAGAGGACATGGCAACAATGAGCTGGCGCCTTGCGAGCTATGGCCCCAATGGTCATCAGTACATTGCTGTGCAGTTTACGCTCATCTTCTTCCAATTCGTCCTTGATATCTTCCTCTGTATCCGGAGGCCTGAGAACATTAAAAAAATTATACAAGTCAAATTAAGTCAGCCACCTTTATTTAGTACATATGTATTAGTACATTAAAGTATAAATAAATATAAGTAGTCGTTATCATGTCAGATCAGATCATCAGATCCCGTCCAATGCTGGACCTTGGCTTTTCATTCTTCGTAATAAAAAAATTAAGATCATGTTCAGATCAAAATTAAAAAATACGTATATTAGTGTTATTAAATGACTGCATTATTTTGTTTCTAGAAAAGAAGCATTGAAGATATGATGAGATACTTATGTAGGTAAATATTTTATTTACCATTGTGTTAAAATGCTACAAGATTAAAACAGAACATTATTTGTTGAAACTAACTAATAAAAATGGTCAATTATTATATTATTTAACTTGTATTCTATACGTTTAGTACCTTGTGCCATCAGGTGGCGCCAGTCGGCTCTGTAGGTAAGTATTGAATACTTCAATACAGGGATTCATTAACGTCTCATTAGAGTATCCATCAGATTCATGCACTAATGAGCTCCAACTATGAAGGAACTTGTTTAACGACTCTCTCCAAACTGTGTCATCGTTTACACCTTCTTCAATAACCGACCCTCTAATACAGTGACATGTAAGATTTGTCAAGTTCTGAAGAAACGCTGGTGGTGTCGCAGCTATCATCGTCGGCGCGAAGAACTGAATCAATCGCCGGTATATATCAGATATCCCAAGCATTTCTCTCTCAACCGGCTGTATGTACGCCATCATATTCAGGAAACTGTTCACATAGTTCTCCAAATACTGCTGTTTTAAGTTACTTGCAGATACCACTACGCCACTAAGACTAGCTAACTGCACTAAGCACGTGAGAGACGGGCTAGCTAAGTCAGGATTGGACCTCACATACATGTGTATCTCAAAGAACAATGCAAGGAGTTCAGGTTGCATTATCGTATCTCGCCAGCTCAGGCTTAGTCGTAGTGCAGGAGCGGTATCGCTTTCATAAATAGCTTCAAAAGCACCAATCAATCTTTTCGACAATAATGGAGATACATGACTCCAACATAGCACAGTCTCCACAATAGTCAGTAATTGCTTTGTCAGTAAAGCTTGTTCTCCTTCTGGCCTATGCCCAGACCGAACTATTTGTTCTAGAACTCCCACAGTAAACCTGAATATCCTTTTTAAATCTAATGCTTCAAAAGACTTTTTCAGTCGAAAATGGACCTCCCAGATTAAGCCCACATCAGCTGATTTAACTGTTATTGCGAATTCTTGCATAATTGCCAATATAAGTGAGCAGGCTAACTTCTGCTGACTAATTGGTGAGCTAAGGATAATCTTTTCTAATTCAGCAATCAAATTTTTCCTCTCTCTTCCTCCATCATCAATGCTGCCTCTTTTAATAATTATAGCAATTGTCTGAAAATAATAAATATATTTTATAAAAATGAAAAAACAATAATAACATACTACCTAATTCAAAACAGTGTTTGATGATTTAGAGATATTAACTCATTATTTTTCTATAATCTAAATAAATAATAAATCGTGTCATTCCTTTATTATTTTGAAAAATATAAAATTTTTTCGTTCATACAGGAATAGTCACAATACATGACAAACAATATACTGAGATAAATTGAATATAAACTGTACCTGCAAAAGCTTTTCCCTTAAAAATGGTGGCACCTCCTTTCTCAATAAATAGTTTAATAAATATTCGCGCAATGAGCAAACATCACTATCTGAAAGTAGTGTCCATTCTCTAATAAGAGCAGCTTTTAGTAAACCAGCTGCCTCAAACAGTACATAGTCCGATGTAGATTTCTCTAAAATTTCTCGACACAGTTGATAAGGGTTCTTGGTGCTTCGAAATTCGAGAAAAACACTCTCAGCTTGGTGACGTTGCTCAGATGTCACCATTTGTGGTGGTGCCTAAAAGAAAATGGTTTTATAAATGGTCTGTAAAATTCATCATAATCTAAATATTTTCAACACTAATTTTTGTTTATGTGTGGTGGACAGTACAGTGGGGTACAGTAATAAATATTCTATTATTAACTGAATATTACATTTTTTATTGTTTAACTGTAACTTATAACCTCTCGTTATGTAAACATTTACTGCCCAATAAGTTAATCCTACTAATATTATAATGTGAAAGTTTGTGAGAATGTGTGTATGTATACATATGTCTAACTATCACATAAAAATCAGATGGACTTGGTTGAAATTTGGTGTGTAGATAGGTGCTACTCTGGATTAACATAAAGGCTAAATTTTGACCACTACACAGGCGAAGCAGATCATATACTTAGTGCTTAAATATTTCATTCAATCCAATGTGTTTGATGATATAATAGAATATGTAGGCAACAGAGCATTTCAAACTGTAAGCCAATGCCTAGGAAGGATATTAGTACAACCTTGAATCCTTATAAACTCATTAAAAATTTAAACAAATTTCCTAATCATGATATTGTGACGGAAAAGTGGTTCAAACTCTTTGACATTATGACGTCAATATGGTTGTCAAACGTTGCCTAGAGATTGTAAGTTTCGTCGTGAATTGTCAACACCAGTTGGTGTAATCGGTAAGGCGTGTGGATTACACCACAGAGACCCCGAGTTCAAGTCCCGCCGTAAACATGAAGTTTTTTAGTTGATGGAAGTTTTTGTGGAACTTTCTGGAAGCTTTTGGTGTGAAAGTAATGAAAAAATCAAAGAGCGAGAAGGAGAATAAATAAAAATGAATAACGAAATTATTGGAAGATTCTGGAGTCATGACAATCAAAAAGAATAACGAAATTGAATGTTCCAGAACCTGACCGGGGGTATATAAGCGGAACTGCGGCTCACCGCTGGCAGTTGAGTTCTAAGTCTAAAGCGATTCGGAAGAAAAGGAAGAAGTGAAAAAGAAGAAAAGTGAGTGAAATAGTGAAGTGCAGTGAAATAGTGAAGTGCAGTCAGTTAAGTGAGTTAAGTCAGCGTGAACGGCAAAGTTGTGTCATTCGGCCGGACTCTGCTGGAGAGGAACGCCGATAACTTAACTCCGAGGACGCTGTAACTTAGGTGCAATAGAAAGTCTGAAAACCGGTATTAGTGTTTCATTTCATCCAATCCCGTAACCCAAGCCCGCATAGTCAGGAACGTGACGTCAGGCACGTAACATTTGGTGTCAGAAGTGGGATTGGAGAAAAATGCCGCTAGTGCCGCAGGACGTAAGAGGAGTGAGTACCCGTTCAATGTCAGAAGCGCAGCGTGTGAGGGAAGAGGGTGCTGCAGCTCAAACCAGTGATGCAGAAGCCAAGCCTGTGCAGGTGGATCTTCTGCTACAGCTGCAGCAAATGATGGCAGAGCAAGCGCGCCGCCAAGAAGAGCAAGCGCGCCGCCAAGAAGAGCAAGCGCGCCGCCAAGAAGAGCAAGCGCGCTGTCAGGCAGAACAGCTGCGGGAGCTGAAAGAAGAGCAAGCGCGCCGCCAAGAAGAGCAAGCGCGCCGCCAAGAAGAGCAAGCGCGCCGCCAAGAGGAGCAAGCACGCTGTCAGGCAGAACAGCTACGGGAACAAGCACACTGTCAGGCGGAGCAGCTACAGGAGCTGAAACAGATGCATAAGGATTTTACGAAGGGACTGCAAAAGGCTGTCGAACGGGTACAAGAAGTGGAGGAAGGGTTAGGCAAGTTGGAACATCGCGTCATGGCGATAGAGGAGAGACTGGAAGAAGAGATCTCCAAAATCAAGCAGGAAGTGACAAACCCAAGCCCTTTGAAGAGCCGAAGCCGTCTTGCAGCCGTTTTTGACGCCCCAAATGCGGCCTTAAGCGCAACGAAAGGGCTCAAGATTCCCCATTACGACGGAACAACATCCTGGACCGCGTTCAAGCTACAGTTTGAGACACTTATGGAGGCTTATGGTTGGACTCAGAAGGAAGCACAGTCAGCCCTCACCCTGGCCCTCCGTGATCAAGCTCTCTCAGTGCTGGAAGCTATCGGCGCAAGTGGGGATCTCAGCTTTAGTGCCCTCCTCGACGCACTTGAAGCACGTTTTGGAGACAGCCACCTCGAGCACGTGTACAGAGCGCAATTAAAAGAGCGTACTCAGCGTGCTAATGAGAGCCTACAGCAATGGTCCGTGGAAATCGAGAAACTTGTACGTCGAGCTTTCCGGTCGACTCCGTCAGTGATTGAAGGCACGCTTCTCCAAGCGTTCATTGACGGTATTCGGGACCCAGAAGTACGAGCTGCTGTTCATCTGGGCCATCACAAGAACATGAAAGAAGCTCTGGCCCATGCATTGGAAGTGGAAGCCGTGCGTGGCAACTCCCGTACCTTACGTCTGCGGGAAATGACGACAACGGAGCAGGTACCTCCACGCCGTCGGAACTTCATGTGCTATGGATGTGGAGAGCGTGGGCACATACGGAGCGACTGCCCGAAGAAGATGAACCGCCAGGACGCGGCGGTCTCAACTTCTGACCAGCAGGGAAACTTTAATCCAGCCAGGGCTGCGGGGTGGGCGCTGGCTGGTAGTGGAACAACCCCAACAATTTACATCAAGCAAACCAACGATGGAAATACTCTGGTGATAGACGGTCAAGTAAATGGGAAAAACAGTCAGCTAACATTAGATACTGGAGCTTCAAAGACGGTGATAAATGTTCGGCTGCTCGAGCAAAACATCAGGAAACACCTTAAACCAATTGTTGGCCTACAAATGAAATCAGCTACCGGCCAGTGCATACCGATAAGTGGAAAACTGCATGTAACAATCAAAATTGGGGAACGTGTTTATCGACATGAGGTTATTGTGGCCAGAATTCTGGATGACTGCATCCTGGGACTTGACTTCCTGCAAGGGCACCAGTGTAACATCGACTTAAAATCTGGAGTATTACTATGTGGAACTGAGGAAATTCCGATGAAGGGTGGAACCCTGGGAAAAGTTTGCTGTTTAAGAAGAACTGTTCTTGCACCAAAATCACAGACTCTCGTACCAATCGCATTACCTAGGAGGAAGGAAGGAAGTTTACCTCGAAGGTGCGCTGTGATTGATAAATCGGAACACGTAAGCTCATGGCTACCGGCAAGAACTGTCGTGGGGTCATCTGATGTCAACCGCATTCCGGTATTCAACTTCAGTGATTCAAAAATTACGATTGAAGAAGGAGAGCCTGTGGGCGTATTGGAAGAAGTGGCCTGGATAAGAAAATGCTCGGAGAATCTTGTGAAGAAGGACAGTACGGGAATTGACTTTGTAACGAAAATCTTAGACGAAAACAAAAGTCTAACAAAAGTGGAGACTATGAAAGCTAGAAATTTACTTCTTCGATTCTCTGATGTGTTTTCAAGAAGCGATGGTGATATTGGCCGAACTGGCTTGGTGAAGCATAAAATAAACACAGGTGATACAATGCCAATTCGTCAAAGGCCCAGACGCATACCGTTCGCTCGTGAGAAAGAGGTTGAAGAAATGATTGACGATATGAGAAAAAATGACGTAATAGAGCCCTCTTCTAGCCCTTGGTGTTCACCTGTCGTGCTTGTCAAGAAGAAAGATGGTTCAACGAGGTTTTGCGTAGACTATCGACGATTGAATGATGTAACCAAGAAGGATAGCTACCCGTTACCAAGAATCGATGACACACTTGACACACTGAGTGGCATGAAATGGTTTTCAACGCTCGATCTGAAAAGCGGCTATTGGCAGGTGGATTTGGATCCCAAGGACAAGGAAAAGACCGCATTCTCAACTGGGAAGGGACTCTGGCAATTTAAGGTGATGCCATTTGGATTATGCAATGCACCGGCAACCTTTGAGCGTTTGATGGAACAGGTGCTGGCGGGACTGCTGGGCGAAACCTGCCTAGTTTACCTCGATGACATCATCATTGTTGGACGGGATTTTGACGATCATCTAAGGAAATTGGAAAAGGTACTCGACAAGCTGCGTGGAGCAAATTTAAAGTTGAGTCCAAAGAAATGCTCTTTCTTCAAGCGCGAAGTGAATTATCTAGGACATGTTATTTCTGAGAGAGGAATTGAGACTGATCCAGCCAAGACTGTCGCTGTTAAGGAATGGCCAACACCTAAAGACAAAACGCAAGTTCGGGCATTTCTTGGATTGTGCTCGTATTATCGGCGGTTTGTGAAAGGATTCTCGGACATTGCCAAGCCTTTGCATCGATTGACAGAGGAGAAACGTGCCTTTATCTGGGACGAGGATTGTGAGCAAGCCTTTCGAGAACTAAAAGAAGGGCTTTGTAACACACCAATTCTCGGATACCCCAGCGCGAAAGGAATATTCGTAGTAGATACGGATGCCAGCAATATTGGAATAGGAGGTGTCCTTTCACAACGCGATGGTGAGCAGGAGAAGGTTATTGCTTACTTCAGCAAGTCACTATCCAAGCCGGAGAGGAATTATTGCGTGACCAGGAGGGAATTGCTGGCCGTAGTCAAAACTCTGCACCATTTCAAGAAGTATTTACTGGGACGGAAATTTTTGATCAGAACAGATCACGCTGCTTTGAAATGGCTGCTTCAGTTTAAGGATCCTGAAGGCCAAGTAGCCAGATGGTTGGAACAACTTCAGGAATTTGACTTTGAAATCGAACATCGCGGAGGAAGAATTCATGGCAACGCAGATGCATTATCGAGACGCCCATGCGTGGAAGATTGCAAGCATTGTGCCAAGAAGGAAACTGCTTTTCTTAAGGTGATAAGGACTAATACTGTTGACGAGGCATGGGGAGATGATGCGATGAAATTAGAACAGGAAAGAGATGCAGATATTAAACCAATACTGGAGTGGCTACGAAGTGGTAACAAGCCAAGTTGGAGTGACGTCGCCCAATATAGCGCGGTAACGAAAGGTTTATGGGCACAGTGGAAAAGCCTTACGCTGCATAATGGACTTCTGTGCAGGAAATGGGAATCAACAAACGGCAAGGACGAGCATTTGCAATTGGTGGTGCCTCGTTCAAAAATAAGGGATGTATTAAAAGCGTTCCATGATGGATCTTCTGGAGGACATTTGGGAATTAGGAGGACTTTGGTGAAGATCAAGGAGAGGTTTTATTGGCTGCATTGCAAATATGACGTCGAAGATTGGTGCCGGAAATGCACTAGTTGTGCAGCTGTCAAGGGTCCACAAACAAGAAGCAGAGGGGCGATGAAAATCTACAATGTTGGTATGCCTTGGGAGAGAATAGCCTTAGACATCGCTGGACCATTTCCAATCACTGATTCGGGCAATCGCTACGTTTTAGTGGTTATGGATTATTTTACAAAATGGCCGGAGGTCTTTGCCATACCGAATCAAGAGACAGTAACTGTAGCCACGAAGTTGGTAAACGAGGTATTCACCCGATTCGGAGTGCCCTTGGAGATGCACAGTGATCAAGGACGGAACTTTGAATCCCAAGTTTTTCAGGAAACTTGTAAACTTTTGGGAATCCATAAGACTCGAACGACCCCTTATCACCCACAGTCAGATGGAATGGTCGAACGTTTCAACCAAACATTGGAGCGACACTTAGCAAAGGTGGTTGACAGCCATCAGAGAGATTGGGACACTTACATACCTCTCTTCTTGCTTGCCTATCGGACTGCTGTACATGAAAGTACCGCAAAGACGCCTGCATTTGCAAATTTTGGAAGGGAATTGAGATTACCGGCAGATCTTGTATCGGGCTGTCCACCTGGCGACACTCGCACCGAGTTTAGCGATTACATAAGCGAGTTAAGGGCAAAAATGTTGGACATTTATGAGCAGATCAGGGAGGCCGGTCTTCAAGCTAGTGATCGCGCAAAGACGCGCTATGATCGACGAGCCAATTCTGTTGGGTTTGAAGAGGGGTCATTGGTCTGGCTTCATAATCCAGTCAGAAGGAAGGGAAAATCTCCGAAGCTACAACCGAGTTGGGAAGGTCCTTATGAGATAGTCACGAAGATCAATGACATTACTTACAGAATTCGGAAGACTTTAAGGAGCCCTTTGAAAGTTGTCCATATAGACAGGTTGGCGAGGTATTACGGCAGCAACGATGCTCGGGACGAGCAAATCTAAGAGGAGGGCAGTGTGACGGAAAAGTGGTTCAAACTCTTTGACATTATGACGTCAATATGGTTGTCAAACGTTGCCTAGAGATTGTAAGTTTCGTCGTGAATTGTCAACACCAGTTGGTGTAATCGGTAAGGCGTGTGGATTACACCACAGAGACCCCGAGTTCAAGTCCCGCCGTAAACATGAAGTTTTTTAGTTGATGGAAGTTTTTGTGGAACTTTCTGGAAGCTTTTGGTGTGAAAGTAATGAAAAAATCAAAGAGCGAGAAGGAGAATAAATAAAAATGAATAACGAAATTATTGGAAGATTCTGGAGTCATGACAATCAAAAAGAATAACGAAATTGAATGTTCCAGAACCTGACCGGGGGTATATAAGCGGAACTGCGGCTCACCGCTGGCAGTTGAGTTCTAAGTCTAAAGCGATTCGGAAGAAAAGGAAGAAGTGAAAAAGAAGAAAAGTGAGTGAAATAGTGAAGTGCAGTGAAATAGTGAAGTGCAGTCAGTTAAGTGAGTTAAGTCAGCGTGAACGGCAAAGTTGTGTCATTCGGCCGGACTCTGCTGGAGAGGAACGCCGATAACTTAACTCCGAGGACGCTGTAACTTAGGTGCAATAGAAAGTCTGAAAACCGGTATTAGTGTTTCATTTCATCCAATCCCGTAACCCAAGCCCGCATAGTCAGGAACGTGACGTCAGGCACGTAACAATATCAATAAGCAAACCCATTACAGGAAAACCTAAAACTACTTGATAAAATATGTATTTATTAGGTAGCAGTTATAAGTCACAAATTGCACAGGTTGAGTGAAGCTATTCATGACTCTTGGTAACAAGGGATAGACTGAACCTCGAATTTTTGGCAATAAATCTACTGTATTATAGTTATGACATTACAATTGATTACAATGGCCAAATTGTAGCTGAAGGTAATAACAATGTATCTACCTAGACAAAATAAGTCTGAATTTTTTTGTGTCTTACATTTCTATTAAGCTAAAGATTTTTGTCATAATTAGTATAAGTAAAACCAAAATAGGAAACCCAGAAAACGGCTAATAAATTAGTTTCCAATCAACAAAAATCTATGCCCCTAATGTTGTAGCTATGGGGGTCCATTAAAAAACGTAATCCTTATTTGTTATGTTAGCAGATTCATCATTCATCTAATATTATAAATGCGAAACTTTAGATATTTGTTACCCAATCATGCCAAAATGGCTGGTCTGATCTGTAACTGGATGTAATTTGACACAGGTATTATATTATACACTCCGGAATAGGACATAGGCTTTTTATCAACATACCATGCAGGTGACCACGGTGGAGGCTAGTATTAAAATATTTTTTCTACAGTACAGAAAGATCCTAAAATATTGTGTATTGGATATTTTTTATTTATGTATGTTTAAGTAATACATAAACTAGGTGATACACCACATGCAAATTAAGATATTTAGAAGATGTGGGTGAAGACCAAGTTTAATATAACACAAATAATTAAAAAAAAAAATATTTTAAGAACCACAACAAAATAATATGTTGATTATATTAAAATACTTAAAACGAGTAAAATTTATTGCAAAATCATGTGGAACACCACATGATTTTTTCTTTTTCTAAAGAAATAATCTTAAAAGTAGGTTTATTAAGTTATATTATTATAGTGGAATTGGAAACCATAACAAAATGTTTTAAACGCTTTAGACGTGTTTAAAATTTCTAAATTAAAGTATTTCCTTAAGAAACCAATATCTTCTTACCATCAACATCTGAGCAGCCGCCTCCAATGTTTGTATAGCAGAATTATCCATTGTAACACTTAATTCTTAAGACCAAATTATAAAAAAGATGAATGAGATACAATACTTAAACCACTTAGGAAACGTTTTAATAAAGAAATCAACTGAAAAGTCACATAATTATTGGAGAAAAACACTCAAAATATTACGAATATAATTCGTAAATTTTATTACATGTCAAATTTTCAACCATTACAATGACTAGCCACAGATAAGAAAAAGCAGTAGCGAGCGATCTATCAACATTCGCTCTCATAAAAACTATTTAGCGTTTTATCTCCTTGTAGTAAAGTACAGTCTCCTTTGCAGCTTATTAAAGGCGACATCTGGGTCATACAGATAATATTAATAGTGTTTTAAGTGTTGCCAGCAGAAACTACAAAAAATTGGTAGATTCTCAGATTTCTAACACCGTACTTCATGCAAATAAATATATGCTACCTACTCCTCCCCATACCATTAATCCCCAAACCCCCGCAAAAAGCATACTTTTCTAGAAAGTAACATAATTTTACGAACAATACGCCGTGTGAATGATGTTACCAGAGTCCCAATCCTTCCCTAAATCTCTAAAACCTTAATCTACGTCGGCAACGTTGTGGGCAACGCACTAAGAACTTCTTTGTTGTTGTCATGTGCGGCGCTGATTGCTTAGCATCACTGCTTCGTAGAAGTGCAGGTCCTCTCTCTACGAACCATGGCTTCGACTAAGACTGTGCGCGAGAGGTCGCCGCGGCCGAGAACTTCCCCGAGGACACGGCGGTGCTCAGCCCAAGCAGGGCGCACCGCCACCGTATGCTTCATCGTGTCCTCAGGGTGGGCCTCACAGTGCCGACAATCGGGCGTTTCCTCCCGCCGCATCCGAAACAGGAACCTACCGAAGCTGCCGTCCTCGGTAAGCACCTGCGTCAGGCGAAAGGTGAGGACGCCGTAGCGTCTCTCAAGCCAATTTTGGTATATACCGTAACTACTTACCTTCATCGACTTGCCAAATACCAATAGTAGGACCAATCTATAGGATTTAGGTAGGTACCTATAGCAGTTCTTATAATTTCGGAAAAAGTGGTTTTGACATCCGGAGAGACAGACAAACATGACGAATCTATAGGTACTTAATGAGTTTTCTGATTTGCCATTTAGCAACGGAACTCTAAAAATTATTTCTTTTATGAGGGTACTTGTGCATGTTGCATGATATTGTGGGTGCCCATGGACGGCACTGATTACTTACCATTTGGTTATCTCCTATCAAATAAAAGCCTTAGAATAATCACACCAAGCCAAGAAGGCGGTACATAAGGTTTATTACAGAGCAACAGCTGCAAGGCCATTCCCAATTACATACCAACCGCCATCATATGTAAATCGCTGTAACACATCTAGGTCCTGAAAATAGGTCTTTCCTTTACATGTATACAGATAGATGAGGGGATCGGAAGGCTGACAACACACCTCGCTTGGCCGTCGGTTTGGGGATCTCCTTTCAAAACGGCATTAGATGCAATAAAGCATTCTACTGGTGCCTTGGGCTACCCCAATATGTGGTGGCAGGTCGGTTTTTTCATGAGGGTCTTCAGGGTAGGAACTCATAATTGGTCAATCCCTTTTTTAGTTACCTAATCCTTAGATTGCCTCGTGGGTCTAATACTTAGTCACAATCGTAAGTACTTACTACCTATTAATTGTAGATCATATTTTTGGGATTTAAACGTATTTTTTTACAAAATTATCAGAAAAAATAGTGCCTATACTAAGTCTGAAACAGCTCTGCAGTTTATACGGTAGGTGTTTATAACTATATAGGTGAAATTCAGAGATATAAACCTAACGCTAGGTTGATGACGACTTCAAACCTATGAATAGGTACCTAGCACATAGAATTTAGTGTTTTATTATTATATAAAAGTATTAGCTTCGCGGATGTAAGAGTGGTATTAAAATGTCAATTTTAATTACTTATAGGTATGACACTTTTTGTTTGAAACAACTCTGCAGTTTATACGGTAGGTATTTATAACTAGGAGAAATTCAGAGATATTAACCTAACGCTAAGTTGATGACGACTTCAAACCTATGAATAGGTAGCACATAGAATTGATAGTGTTTTATTATTAATATTAAAAGTATTAGCTTCGCGTATGTAAGAGTGGTATTAAAATGTCAATTTTAATTACTTATATGCAATGATGTATAAAACTAATACGTCATTGCTTATATGACACTTTTTTGTTTGAAACAACTCTGCAGTTTATACGGTAGGTATTTATAACTAGGAGAAATTCAGAGATATAAACCTAACGCTAAGTTGATGACGACTTCAAACCTATGAATAGGTAGCACATAGAATTGATAGTGTTTTATTATTAATATTAAAAGTATTAGCTTCGCGTAGGTACGTAAGAGTGTTATTAAAATGTCAATTTTAATTACTTATTTGCATCGATCACTAATAACCTTATTTGACACTTCTTTGTTTTTGAAATCGGTTTTTTTAAACGTAGTTTTTTTTATTTTTTACATTTTAGTGTCCGTTACAAGTTCTTCTGTAAACTACAGTAACATTTTAAATATAAATGATCATATTGAATAATATATATTTTTTAAGTAGCTATGTGTAGGCCAAGGAAAGGAGCCGTTCGATTAAAAAATATAGATCCCAAGAAATGGGAAAGTTCTCATCATCATCATCACCATCATCAGCTATTTTAATGTTCCAACTACTGGGACACAGGTCATCTCTCTAGGAGAGGGAAAGTTCTTAGTTCTGAGACGGAAACACGAGGTAGCTACTGTAAACCGATGAAGAGTTCCCTAGACTGTCCTTCGTCTTCATCATCAGATCCCTAATGACAGTCACAATCCATCTAGGTGTAAAGTTCTTATCAAAACGAATTACTTAAGCTCAAACACAAGGAAGCTGCTATGAATCGTTGAGGACTGTCTCTCGGTTCCATCCGGAATTCCCTCGACGGTCAATGGTCTCCATCATCAGGTAAACTGCAGATCTTCAGTTGTCATAATACATACAGGTACAAAGTTTTCATCAATATAAATGAATTAAGCTTAAACACGAAGTAGTTACAGTAAACCGTTCAGGAGTTCCCTGAGCTGTCCTTCGTTCTCATCATCAGACCCTTAATGACAGTTACAACCAAAGTGCCTGCTGCAAAGTGCTCGCCAATACGAATCATTCAAGCCCAAACACAAGGCAACTACTCCAAATAGTCAAGGAGATCCCTCGACTGTCTTCCAGCTCCAACATCTGGTCGACTTCGACCTTCGTCAAGTTGTAATGTTGTTAAAGGCCTACTTAAACATCATACAAAAAAACTACTCGCCCCTACAATTTTCGAAAGTTCCCGTCGGTTTCTCAAGGATTCTATCATCAGATCCTGACCTCATGACAATGGGACCAAATGGCAAGTATAAAATAAACAAGCAAGTATAAAATATCGAATAAAAAAAGAATTTTGCAAATCGGTCCAGGCGTCTTCGAGTAATCGGTGTACCTACATACATAAAAAAAAAATACGCGTCGAATTGAGAACCTCCTCCTTTTTTGAAGTCGGTTAATAACTAGGAGAAATTCAGAGATATAAACCTAACGCTAAGTTGATGACAAATTTAGCCAGGGTTACTGATGCGTGCGCAAAAGTAGCCCCGACCTGCAGCAGAAGGAACGAGGTGATTTTTAGTAAGTACCTACTCGGTAAGAATATGACCCTTTCGCTCAGCTCACTCGCGCGGGAAAAGTCATTTAATGATTTTTTCCCCACAAAATGTAGCTGATGGTAAATGTAAGAAAGTAGTTGTGCAAATAAAGGTCATCAATAGTCATCATCATATATATGAACAGATCGTCTTGGCTGCACAAGTAGGTAGGTACATAGATTCTATAACGGGAAAATTCACATCAAATAGGTAAGTCAAACTAAAAAACTGGTTTAACCTGCTTTGGTGTTGAAATGAGAAGGGTAATGCTGTTTTAATTTTAAAACAAACCTGTTTTACTTCGAATTTATGGATCATATTTTATTATAGGTACCTACCTACCTTAAGACTTTATTTTAAAATAAGAAATTTCTACATTTACTACTTATAACATGACTACGTATAATGTGTTGTGATTTAATTTGTCCTTCAAGTTCACTATTACTAGTATACAACCCATTAAATATTCATGTATTTAATGTTTATTTACCTACTACCCATTACCGTCTACCAATCAAGATCTTTCTTCCTCAATCATTTGCAATCGTTTTTCTAATAAATGCTTGTTCAATTTATGCATGCATAAGAACTGGCCATTCAGAAATAATACAGGTATATCATGCCTGTATAATCTTAACCACCTTACATTTTCTTTTTCTGTAATATCTACTTTTTGAATAATTATTCTATTTTTATAGGGTTCTAATTCTTCCATCACTATATCACATAATCCACATGGGTCTTTAGTATAAAAAGTTAAAACTGGTGGTCCATCTGAAGTGTGTGCTCTGGAATAGTAAACCAAAGCAACACATTAATAAAAAAACATTTATAAAAATATTTTATTGATTTTTCAATCATAAGTATTTGCAATAGAATACAACCATTAACACTTTTCCATATTGTAGCTTATTTACAAGAGATATGGATATAAAAATTACATATTATCTCAACAATATATTAAAATATTTAACTTTTAAAGCTAGCTAGCAAACAGACAAACCATTCATTAATAGCAAATAATTCCTAAAAGGCACAGTAGATAACAAAACAATGTGGTCAGAACATGTTGAAACTTACAATTTCTCAATCATGATAGACGATGCACCACCACCACCGTTACAGATAGAGGCTACACCCTTTTCACCCTTCTTTAGAGCATGGCACAAGTGCACTACTATTCTGGCCCCAGACATGCCAATAGGGTGTCCTAGGCTGACAGCTCCACCGTGAATGTTGACCTTGGCAGGGTCAAGTTCCAATAGTTTTTGGTTAGCAACAGCAACAACACTGAAGGCTTCATTGATTTCCCACATAGCAACATCGTCTTTTTTGACACCAGTCTTTTCTAAGAGCTTAGGAATTGCAACAGCTGGAGCAATTGGGAAATCAATTGGGTCACACTCTCCATCAGCATACCCAACAACACGAGCAATAGGCTTAATATTAAGTCTCTGTGCAGCTTCAGCAGTCATCAGGACCATAGCAGCAGCTCCATCATTCAATGTTGA